AACCAGGAACGCCTCCCATGCACACCCTCATCCTACCCGTCCACTCTGAAAGCCACCCACCCATGCCAGTGCCCAGATCCTCTGTAAGCACCCTATGTGACCTTCACAATAGCCACCTGTGGCCCACAGAGCCACAGCCCTCACCCCTGGCCCAGGCACCATCACCCTCCCCTGTGCTGTCTGCAGGTGGCTCCAAGGGCCCACACTGATTGCCCAGCAACTCCAGGCCAGCCTACCAGCCGTCTCTGCTCTGCAGAGTGCTGAGCCACACTTCTCCATGGATGTCTGCAACCTGCAGGGCTGTTCTTACTTGAGGGCTTGCCCTTGGCCCTGGAATGCCACACAGAGGACTTTCCTCTGTCTAACAGTTCTGCGCTGACCAGAATCACTAAGTCTTCAGGGTTCCAGCCTGAGTGATTTCTTTCTCCTGATTGGGCTCAGACTGCTGCACTAGCCTGTCCCTCTCAGCAGCGAGTGCCCAGCAACTCACCTAACTGGAGGGCTGAATAGTGCCCTTTAGGGATAGGGATGGCTCTGTGTAGGGAGGTCACAGGTTTCCTTCTGGGCAGGGAATATGACTCAAGCATTTTTATTCTCTTCTTCAAAGAACATATATTATAATACTAGGCCCATCATGGATACAAACAGACTGACAGATTGGGGGGAAAAAGGCTGAATACAAGGTACTACCAAAAACTACCATGAATACATACATTTTTTAAAAAAATTATTATAATAAAAGGCACATCACCATTAATCCCCTTCAGACTACTTCCCCTTGCCTTGAACACACTTATCTCATCATTCTTGGTACTTTATGAAGTAGTTCTGGAAGTCTTTCTTCATGAATGTCTTTAGTTGGGCTGTTATGGCTGCCTTGATGTCAAGAATCAATTTAAAATGTTTACTTTTCACCTGCCTCGCAAGCACAAGATCCAAAGTTTGATCCCCAGTACCAAAAAAAAAAATTTACTTTTCATGGTCATTTTGACTTTGGGGAAGAGCCAGAAGTCACATGTTGCCAGATCCAGTGAATAAAGTGGATGAGGACACACTACAACATTATTAGCAAACCTTTTAGAGACCAAGTGCCCATACTGCAACCCAAAACCCACGTATTTATCATGAAGTGCCAATACTGCAATTAAACCTGAATGCTCAGCTGCTGGGGTGATGCCTGGGTGACTTGGCTCACTGGAGCAACTTGGCTCCCATGCTGACAGAGAGGCTGCTGACATCCCTGCTGCAGCATGTATGCCATAAGCTTGCCACCACTGCACGATAATGTTTTCCTGAGCTTGTGTGAAAGGCTGGATGGCACTTGGTAGCAGCATTCATTCATTTTTTTCAATCTTCATAAAGACACTTTATAAAGACACTCACAAAAGAGGACTTCCAGAACAGCTTCAGAAAGTGACAAGCACAATGAAGTACTTGTGTTCAAAGTGAAGGGGAGTATTTTGGGGAGAATTAGTGGCAATATATCTTTTAATGTAATAATTTTTTAATTTGAACATTCATAGTACATTTTTATCACATCTGGTAAATGGGTGTGTGTATACGGATGATTGGATGGGTGGATGGGTTGATGAGTGGATGGATGGATGGAGGGATGGGTGGATGGAATACAGGATTAGATAAAAAGTTGAATTAATAAGTGGATGGAGGGCCAGGGATTTAGCTCAGTGGTGCTGCACCTGCCTCAAAAGTACAAAGTCATGAGTTTGATCCCCGGTACTGCCAAAAGAAATAATAAGTGGACAGATAGGATGGATGGGTGATGATGAGTTGAAGGGATAGCTGGACAGATGGAAAATTTGATGGAAGAATACATGATATGTGGGGAGATGAATGGATGGAAGGCTGGATGGATAGATGGATGGATGGATGGATGAGAGGATGGATGGATGCATACATGATAGATGAATGGAGGATTGCTAGAAGGAAGGGAGGAAGGGTATATGCATGGATGGAGCTATAGAAGGAAGGAAGGAATAAATGGATGAGTGGGGGGCTGGGAAATGGATGGATGGATGGAGGGATGGGTGAATGGGATGAGACAGATTGATGGAATGAATGGATAAATGATGATTAAAATAGGCAGATGGATAGATGGATGAATGAGATGGATGGGTGGATGGAGGGATGGGATGGATGGACTGATAGATGGTATAGATGGATGGATGAGTAGATAGATAAATGGATGTGATGAATTGATAGATGGATGATGGATGGATGGAGAGAAAGAAAGAAGAAAGGATGATTGGACAGGTGGGTGAATGTGTGGTTGGATGAATGAATGATAGGATGGATGGATGGATGGATGGGTGGATAAGAAGGATGGATGGGTGGGTGGGGAGATAGATACATTAGGTGGATGCATGGACAGAATATATGAGATGAGTGGCTAGATGATGGATGCAATGGATGCGTGGATAAAATGGATCATGGACAAATGGATGAATGGCTGGATGGGAGGATGGATGGATGGATGGGATGAATAATTTGCATGGATAGATGGATGGATAGTTGTAATGGATGGATGAATGCATAGAATAATGGATGGATGAGTGAGTGGGTAGAGTGAATGGATGGATGGATTGATGGATGGAAGGATAGGTAAGGTTAGTTAATGGGTAGATGGGTCAGATAAATGAATAGATGGACAGATGGATGGATGAGATGAATAGAAAGAAGTATGAATAGGTGAATAAATGGGATGGATGAGTGAACAAGTACTATGAATGGATGGATGGATGAGTGGATGCATAGAAGGATACAATAAATTGATGGATAGATTAGGTGAATGGATGGATGGGATTAATGAATAAAGATAGGTGGATGGATGGATGGATGGATAGATGGATGACAGAATTCAATGGAATGTTCAATTAATAGGCCAGTGAGTGCTGGGAGCAATGCACTGTAGATCACTATGGCCAGGCCTAACTCGCCTCCTCCCGCAGATGAGGGAGGGCCTCACATGGAACGAGGAACATGGATGTTGTTTGCTTCCTCCTGAGGATGAGGCAGGGACCTGTGGGAGGAGAACAGGTGACAAGAGGGCATGGTGGATCAAGGCCTGGCAGAGAAGAGGACTGTATTCCTTCCTTCCCATTCACCAGAAAACCAAGCATTATGTCCTGCAGACCTTAGCTACTCTCCTGGCTCCAGTTACAGACCAGCCCCTTTTACCTCTGCCACTATAAATAAACATGCAACCATTTGCTTGGTGATCTTTTCCTCCCATCAGGAGTCAAGAGCCCCACCTGGCCCCACCTATACCTTATTAAATCTCTTTGTCTGTCTTTCTTAATTTCTCACCTTCGTTTTTCACTCCATGAACCCTTCAGCCATGCAGGTTGTGGCAAATGAGTGGTTGGATGGAAGGATAGATAGATGACAGGATGATGGGTGGATGTGTATGTGGTTGGACAAATAAATGGAATATGTCATAGATGGATATGTGGTTTGAAGAAAGGAAGGAAGTGTGGATGGATGGATGGATAGATGGATGGATAATGAATGGGTGGACAGATGGTTGCATGAGTAGATGGATCAGTAGGTCGGTAGATGAACAGACTACTGGACTGCTGGATGGTTGAATGGATTCTGCATATTGAGCTTATACCATTTTTCTGTTATTAACTTTCCTTTATGGGCTAGGGATGTATCTTAGATATTTTGTCTTCCTTGTACACCAGACTACATAGTTTAGGACTGAGCCTATATTAAACCTTAATAAAGATAATATTAAGGAATTAATTAACTAAGCAGCCAAAGGAAGGAAATAAAAATCACACTTTCCTGAGCAAGATCATGAGGGTAAATTTTTTTTTTTCAGTAATGGAGATTGACCTCAGGGCCTTTACACTGAGCTACATCCCCAGTCCTTTTTATTTATTTTTAGTTTTAGTTTTCAAGACAGCTTCTCATTAAGTCACTATGTTGCCCAGGATGGGCTTGAATTTTCAGTCCTCCTGCCTCAGTGTCCTAGAGTGCTGAGCTACCATGCCTGGCTATGAGACTGTATTTTATCTTTAGCCCCCTCACTTTCTCAGCAACACGCCTACCTCCTCCCCTCGTCAACACTCTAGGATGAGTTCAGTTCCCTCAGCCTGTCACACTGGAGACTTTAGGAATGGACCTGTGACACTTATAGAGAAAGCAGGTAGTTCCATCCTGGACCAACTATCTTGTTTACTGATGGTAGCAATTGGGTCACCTTCTACTCCCACAAGGAAACACATAAAGAAAATGGACCCACATATTTAGGCAGGAAGGAGACCTACCCATGGCTGAGAGATTAGCTTATCAGGGGAGAAAATTACAACTACTGACTTGCTTGTACTTGCATCCCTTGCTGTTCCCTAAGCCACTCTGTTGTGCATGACCCACTGGGTTTGAGGGTCCAGGAGTCGGACATGTGCAGTGAGGCCAGAGAGCAGAGGCCCAGGCAGCAGAAGAAACAACATGCTCATCGTCAGAGAAAGCCAAAGATGGAGATGCTGCCTGAACGGGCCAGGTGCTCCTCATCGCCTGAAGTGTGTGACTCGGGACCAAGTCCAGGTGGGGCTGCTGGTGAATGGAAGGAGAACTGGACATCTTATGTCTGTGTTCTAGGAAGGTCACAGTCTTGGGAACCGGCTGTCCTCCAGCCCTGGAACTCAGCACATTTCTCTCCTCACTGGGCCTTAGTTTCTGCATCTACAGAATGGAACTCCAGACCTTGCCTGCCTGACTCACAAGGGCCTTATAAGATGGGAAAACCCACCAGAAAGAGGGTGCAGTGCCTAAAGAACAGCATGGTGCCATAACCATCAGCTCATCCTGTTGCTCTTCAGGGTGACCTTTCAAAGATGAGCTCTGGCACAAAGGCAGTAGAGGCAATGGGCGTGGATAATGAAGATGTGCGCTCATCTTCCCCCTTTCCCGGGGACAAACAGGGTACAAGGGATGCACATAGAGAACTGGCCTCGGGTATACAAAGAGTTTGCTGGGTTTGGCTGGAACTTGCAGCTCAAGAGATGTTTAATGCATGAGGAAAGAGATCTGGACAACCTGGAGGAGCAAGCTTTTCCTCAAGAAGGGGTGGAGGATGCAGTGGGTAGAGGAGACAAGGAGTGAGTGAAGGAGGAATCCAGGTACTCGGCGAAGATTAGACAGCCCAGCCAGGCAGACCGGTGTGCTGGCCATGATGCCTGTGTCTTTGCCTCAGTTTCCCCAGTGGCTTGAGGGAAGAAGTCTTCTGAGCAGCAAGGCTGGCTCCCTCTTGCCCCTGCCAGTGGCCCTGCCTCAGCGCTGGTAGAAGAGGCCACTGGATATCACGACATATCCCTGAAGGGCAACAAGAACCATAGACCAGGTCAGAGGCCTCTGAGGACAGGAAGAGCACCCTTGGAAGGTGCACTCAGCAGGGGCTGGCACAAAATGTGTGCTCCATGTGTGGAGTGTCATCACTGTTATCGGACTGGGAGTCCCAAACGATGGGACGTCTTCTCCAAGCCCAAGCCCTTTGCACAGCCTGGCTGCCATGCCTCCCCTACTTTCTACATTGCCCTGCAAAAACATTCTGGAGGATCGCCTATCATTGATTCATTTGGTGAATCTTCACTGAGCCTCAACTACACACCAAGGCCTATGACAGGTGCCAGGGACTCAGCAAAGAACAAGCTGGATGTAGACCTAGTCCCTGCCCATAGGTAGCTCAGAGTGTAGGGCTTTATGGTACAATGGGGTAGCCAATGGCTATATGTGGGTATGGAAATTAATTAAAATTCAAAAAAAAAAAATGCAGCCCTGAGTTCCACTGGCAACACTCCAGGTGCTCAGTGGCCACATGTGCCTGTGGCTGCTGCTGTGGACAAGGCAAATCTCCATCACTGCAGAACACTCTGTCAGACAGCACTGGTCTAGGCACCTTAGGCTTCTGACCCTATTGCTGGATTTGTGAGTGCCAGCAGGTGTCAGCCAGAAAGGGGAGTCTTGGGGCAAGTTCCACTAACTGGCCTGGGTCCTCTGTGTGCTAAGGGCTCCTTCTTATGGAGAGGGTCATCCGAGGCCTTGGGACCACAGTTCTTAAGGAACAAAGACCTCCTCCTAAGGAAGACATGTGTGGGCCCCTCAGAGGGTGTGAACATCTGTCCTGTACTGGCTTTCTGAGAGAATCTCCTTTTATTCCCTGGGAGAGACAGAAAGAAGCTGTAGGGTCTCACCCTGGCCTGGGTTATGGTTGAATTGCACCCTGGGTCCACAAGTTCAGATGTAGGAACAATAATTTTAGAAGGTTCAGAAAACTCCCTTCACCTATGCAGCCCACAAGAGATTATCTACAAGACTGGAAGGAGTGCCTCTCTCATCTACCCCAGACACCAAAGGGATCATGTCCATCCCAGGGCACAGAATCATGGGACAATTGAAAGTCTGAAGTCCCTGGTGCAACTTTGTACAAAAACTAGAGGAAGGGAAACCTTGCCCCACTGGATCTTTCACCATCCCAAATCTTCCATCTCATTACAGATAAGATGCATAGTGTGGTCTTGGCAGGAGTAGGGGGTACACCCAGTCCTGGCTGACCCCAACACCCCACTGTGTGCTCTAGAATGACCTCTGCCTTGCCAATCCCAGAGGATGCCCAGCTGGCCCCTCCCAAGGCTCTCACCTCATACACAAAGACTTCAGGGTTGGTGTAGTAGAGGTTGACCACACTGGGGAGGGCGATTCCCATGCCCAGGAGAGCTGCAAGTGGGGACAGAGGAATCAAGTTCAGTGGAAAGTGGGACCAAATCGTCCCCTGGAGCCAGCCCTGTGCTGAGTCCTCATGGGCATCATGGCATCCAGAAGATAGCTGCCACTGTCATAGTGCCCATTATATGGAAGGAAAAACTGAGGCTTAGAGAGGGAAAGGAACTTAGTGAAGATCACACAGCTGTGTGCCAAATGCCTACACGGCCAGCTGGACCCCTAGGCCACCTCTTAACCTCAGAGCCTGGGAAGTGGGCAGGGGCAGAGATAGCATGGAGAGGGTAGGAGTCAGGAGGGGCCAGAGGGGCTGCTTAGGAGGAGCAACACTCACCATTGAGGTGGTCCAACAGTGGCTTCTTGAACAGGGTGCCCACAAGTGTGTGTAGCTGCTTCACCTTTGGCCACAGGTTGAGGGCAGCCAGTGGGTGAAAGAGATGAACAGTTAGGCACACACGTAGACAGACGGATGGACATATGGGCAGCAGAGGCCCAGGCAAAGTGGGGGTGGGCAGTTCATCCACATCTTGGGTTTGAGTGGAGCCCAGCTATACCCCAACTTGGGTCAGCCTCTGAGGACAAGCCTTTCCCAGGGGGAGCCTGAAAGGTGAGCCCTGACTGGCTGACACACCATGTGACCAAAAGCTGACGGACAAACCTAACTGGCTGACATACACTGTGTGACCAACAGGTGGACTTGCTAGCAGAGCCCTTAACACCAGATGACCAACAGAGAGACTGACAGGTAGAGGGTTGTGGCATATTGCCCGACAGGCCAACTGACAAACAGACACAAAGTAGCGAGGACCCTAACCCCATGATGTGCCTGAAGGGTCAGCCCACACTGTTGACTTGTCCCACTGACCAGTGGACTCAGCTGAGGGGTTGGGCTGCCAAGTCACTGACCACCAGGCAGCTCACAGGCAGGAAGGCTGTGACAGGTGGATAGCGGGAAGGGAAGGCCGGAGGACTGTGCCCAGCACCAGGAAGCCTGACTATGGGGTATATGTGGGCATCTGCGCCATGCTCACATGCACCCAGCCACCAGGGGCCCTGGAGACCCAGTCCCCACTCACATCAATGAAGCCCACATTGGAGGCAGCCACCGAGAACCGGACATCCCTAAAAGAGAAGCAGTGGGGGCTTCGTGCTGCCGTACCTCAAATGCCAGCTGTGCCATGTGAGCTGGGGCAGGGAAAGGTCTTTACACAGAGGAAGCACTGAGGCTGCCAGATCCTGGCTTACCCCAGCACAGATGTGGTCCCCTGGAGCTTCACCTTGGACACCGAGAGCTGCAGGCTCAGGTTCACTGCCTGGGCACATGAGGAGTACAGGGTCAGAGGGCACCCCTTCCACTCATGCAAGCACAGGTGTTTGGGGAGCGCCTGCTATGTGCCAGGCTTGATGACGCAGTGTGAAAGAGGCAGACAAGGTCCCTGCCCTCCACACCCACCACCAGCCATGGAGGGAGGCAAAAGATAACCAAAGTAGCCAGCAGGACCCTTTCAGAGAGTGGGAGAGCCATGAAGGCAGAGTGTCATGGAGAGGACTGATGAGGACATTCTTACCCAGTGGGGTGGGGGGAGCGAGGTCCATAAAGGCTTCCCTGAGAAAGGCTGCAACATTTAAGCTGAGAACTGAAAGATGAGAAGGAGCCAGCCATGCCAAGGACCAGGGAAAAGAGCCCTAGCCAAAGGGGTCCGCATGGGCAAAGGTCCTGAGGCAGGAATGTCCTGCCCAGGTCAAGACACAAGGAAAGCAGTGTGGGTAGGCAAAAGCATGAGGAATTGCATGAGTTCTCCTCTGAGGGTCAACCCCCTTCCAGCCAGCCCCACCAAGCCCCCTTGCTCACCACCTCCAGGGAGAAGAGAGACTGGAAAGCTGAGTTAGAGGACGCAACCAGCACTTCCACAAAGGGCTGCAGCCTCAGGGTGGCATTGTTGGTATGGAATGTGACCATGGGTGTGGCACCCAGATACACCTTGAGCACTACAGGCATGGGCTCGGGGAACTGGTGAGTCACCTGGAGAGGCAGAGAGAGAGGGAAGAAGGCCCTGCTGGGCCCACTGCACAAGGATACACAGCCAGCCACTCCTCGATGCTTCCAGTCACCGTGGCTCTGCACATGACTGGGCACAGAGGTGGGTCCAGCCCAGGCTCCTGGAGCAGATGAGGGGATCAGCTGTCCCCCAGGAGGAGCTCCCTGAGCCAGGTCTTGAAGGTGATAGGGACAAGAGAAAGGACGTGCAGGCAGAGGGAAGCTGGGCAGAGGCAGAAAGAATGTGAGGCCTGCACAGAGAGAGGGGCTCTCCCTAGAACCCAGGGAGCAGATCTAAGTGCAGATGCAAAATCCCACTCGGGACAGGTGTGACATACACAGCCCAGAGACCCCAATCCTGAGCCACCCGGAATGGCCAGCAGTGTCACCAACCTCAGGGATGAGCTGGCCCAGTGCAGAGGTGTTCAGTGGGTTGTCATCGGAATTCTGAAATCCACACATGTCAGGTTCGAAGGCAGCCACCACTCGCCCCTCAGTGGCAGGAATCCCTCCCCACAGACCCACTTGACCCCAGGACCCACACTCTAGCTGCCCCACCTGCCCACCACTTGGCATCTGTGGAGTGTCCCGGGGCTAGCCCAGAGGGTGCTCCTGTCCCACAAGTCCTGGGCAGCAGGCCCAGCCTCACCAGCTCCCCTGTGACATCCAGGTTGAGGGCGCCAGCCTTCTGCAGCAGCAGCAGAATACAGTCGAACAGTTGCTGGGAGAGGCCCATGGTTGCCATGGTACCCTTAGTGCCCACAGGCCAGGGTAACACAAAGGGGGTGACATCCAGGGGCAGGGTGATGGGCTGACCCAGCAAGAAGAGGTCGGCCTATGGGGAGGGACAAGATCTCAAGAAGGGGGTGGCCTCATGACAGAACCTGCCACCCCCCACCCCAACCTACATGGTCACCCACATGCCATGTATCCTCTTGCCCTTGCCTGTGTGCCATACTCCCCCTGGAATGCAGCTCCTTAACTTCTGCCCCTTTAGAAATCTTCCGGGACCCCACAGACCCAGAGCCCCCCACTCCCCAGCTCTGGGCCAACAAGGAGGCACTTACATTAACTTCCAAGGCGATATAGTCACCAGTGATGATGGGCTCACTGACCATGGAGTAGCGAATCTGGGACTCAGGACCCACAGGGCTAAGGCCTTAACAAAACCAGCATGGAGAAGAAAAATGGCATACTTAGCTGTACCCCCAGCACCTCATCTGTCTGGAAAGCTGAAGTATCTGACCACCTGGAGTAGCCAGAGGGAGGCAGGGCCCCTGAGGGAGCACACTGAAGTGGCCAAGTACACACACCCGGGATGCAGCCACAGGGATGCAGCCTGGTGATTCTCACTTCAAACACAATTCTAACAAGTATGTGTTCTGCCTTCCCCGTCAGTGGAAGGCTCGAGAATCCAAATCAGAAAGAAGAAGCCTCAATCCAGGAAGAAATGTCACCTGACAGAGGCAAGAAGGAAGCACAGAGAAAGAAAAGCACTCTGGCTGATCAGGTCCTGGCATATAACTTAGACCATCTCATTCAATCACCATAACTCAGTACAGTTATTGCACACCCGTGCACCCTTGCTCACACACACATGCACATGTGCACGCACACACATGCACACACACACACACACACACACACACAGAGTTTGGTGTGAATCTCAGCCTTGTCCAGGATTGTGAACCCGGTCAGTCTGACCTCAAAGCTATGGCTTCTGAGCTGAGAATACTCTATGACCAGATGGTCCCAGCTGGGAAGGTCACACTCAAAGCTGAGCCTCCGTGGAAACCTCATCCCTGGACATGGCTGAAGGCATGGCCAGCTGAGCTGCAGCCCCAGTGTCCATCGGGAGAGGCCAGCTCAGCCACGGCTCCAGCGCCCAAGCCCTGCATGACCAAGGTTGTATGTGCATATGTGTGCATGTATGTGTGTGTATATTTCATATGTCTATGTACACGTATTTGTATACCTGTTATTAAATATCTATTATGTGTCTGTTTTGTAAAGTTTCATAGAGTTGATTTTATTTATATATAAAATATATTTAATATTTTATAGGTAAGTATATAAAATATATAAGTACATATTTATAAATACTTCAGCATATCTAACTCCATTCAGATTTGTTTTTCTATTGTCTCATTTGAATTTAATTTTACTTTCCCTAATATTTTAGAATTTTTTTATGATTGTAAAAGCAACATAGCATGATTCCCTTTCTACAGTCAGTAGTTGGGGTAGGAGGAGGAGGCCGCATGAAGGGGTTTGGGGTCTGGTGGGAGGTTGTGGACTGTGGGGGTGGTTATGGGACTCTGTTCACCAAAACTCAGAGAACTGGGCACTAAAAAGGTAAGTTGCTCCATGATTAAAAATGGAAAAAATTAAAATTTAAAAATAATAATACATATTCATGATGAATACTTAGAAAATATTTTTAAAATGGAAAACACAGCCCAGGATCTCAAAGGTATTTCTTATTCAGTACGTTCTTATGCAGAGGCCAACTTCTCCCTCTCCTGCATGCCATGTTCCCCTCCCCTGCTCTTCCCATCCCTTCTCCCTCCTCCTCTTCAACTGTGTGAAGCTGCACACAGTTTTCTGTCCTCTTTTTTCTTAAGAAAGTGATATTAGAGCTTAGTTAAGAGCACAGGTTCTCAGAGCAGGCTGCCCCTCAATTTCTTCACCTGTTAAATAGAGTTGATCGTGCTACAATGCTAGCTGGTATTTCTCATGCACACGCACACTCAAGCTCATGCACACACATGAACACACACTCACAGCAAGAGCCCAGGACTCCCTGTCTCCATGGATGGATTCTTCCCCAAACTCATCCTGCAGGGAGGGACCTTGAGGCAGCACAGTGGTCACCCACCGTCACTGGTTGGGGACCTGGATCTCCTGGCCCACCCTTCCTGCCCACCACTTTCAGTCTGTACACAACCTGGACCTGGCACCCAGAGGGGTCGCTTATGCCCTCTCCTGGAGCTGCTTGAAGAACCACATCTGTCATCTTTTCTTTCCTCCCAACCCTAAGTCCACCACTTCATTAAGTGCACACAGGTGTTTCCCAGGCCCACAGCTGTGCAGAGCACCAGACATGAGTTGTCATGTTTCATCCTCACAGCCATCTTGGCAGGGAGGTTCTATTACATCCTCATTTTACAAAGGAGGAAATGGGCCCAGAAAGGTTGAGTGACAGAACCTGAGTCACACTTCGGGGAACCCAGTCAGTCAGCTCCAGGGCAAGCATGGCTCAGACTCAATACAACACATCCCCTGTACTGAATTAACAGATTTGCCTAAATCTACTACCTCTTTCCCAAATTAATTGCAAAAGGAAACTTTCTATCACTATGCGGAATCAGAAATCAGCACTGATAGTCACAAAATCTCCAGGTAGACAGGATAGTTGTATATCTTTTCTAACGGCCTCAAAATAAACATATAATCATCCAATTAAAGAAGGTGCATTCCTGTATAAGATACTCAGGTGACATCCCAAGCATGAGACCCAGACCCTAAGCATGTTCCAAGCCACCTCTAGTAACAAACATGCTGTCACACATCCCACCTCCCTGAAGGGTAAAGGGAGCAGAAAGATTTCCAAGTGTCCTCTTAAGATTACAAGCCCCTTCCAACTATGAGAATCTGGTTTCTTCAATCCCTCAATTTCAAATTTGTGATTTCAGATTCCACAGTTTCATGGTGCTGATTCTCCAATACTAAGATTCATCATTTAAAGACTTGATATCATTTTGGGTTTTGGATAATTTGATCTAAAATATGCAGATTCTAGAATCAAAGACTTGGTTCTAGAATTTGGAGATTCCTAGATTCTATGAATAATTATGCAGTCTGGGGAGCCCACAATATAGGCATCCTACAACTGACCTCCCAGAAGTTGGCCCTGACAAAAAAGTGATCTTTGAAGGGCCTTGGGAGCACCCCAGCCCTCCCAACTCCTCCGGTCCCAGTCTTACCGATTAAGGTGCCAAGGTGGACATTGAGGCCCTGCACCAGGTTGGAGATGTGCAGACACAGCTGTGCAGGACAGAGAGGAGGCTGTGCTTAGGGGCCTCAGGGCTGGATGAGAGAGGCCTCCCCTGGCCAGCACACCAAGCCTGGGTCCCCTACTTCCTCCTCCACCAAGAGGAGCACCTCCTCAGGGCCCAAAGTCTGGTGAGGACACTGTAGGCCCATAGGCATGGAGGAAAGGCTGTCAGGATAGCTACAGACAAGCTGAGCAACTGAGGCAGGGAGCCTGCTGCCTCGGTGTGCAGAGGGCTAGCTGCTTTGAGGGCGGGGTGGCAGGTAGTGACCAGTGGGCCATGTCAGCCAGGCTGCATGTGCCAGCCAGGGGAATGGAGGTTCTCAGGGCACAGAGAGGAGCCAGGAAGGTGTCCTGAGCTTGAACCAGTGTGACAGAAGATGGGAGCAGAGAAGAGACTGCAAGGGAGACACTCACAGCCTGGGCCAGGCAAGGCCAAGGAGGGAGAGGACCGGATCTTCTCTTCCTGCCTGCAATCCCTTGCCCTGGAGAGGCTGCAAGGGCAGCAGGAGGAGCATAGGAAGAGGCTGCAGTAATGGGCAAGGCCAAGCACAGCCTGTAGCACTCCCAGGACAAGCTGCCTGCCCACACCCATCCAGCCTCAGTTCCCCCATCTTGGTGGGTGGGGGTAGCATACAGTGGGTTGATTTTGTCTCTGCTACTTCCCCTTACAGGGAGATGGGGAGGGATGAGGCAGGATAAGGAGGGAAGATCAGCTCTCCTTGGGTGGTGGGACCCTGGCCCAAGGGACAGCATCTCTTACCAGGTCAGCCATATGCAGATATCAACAGAAGCTAAAATTGTAATAATCTCAGCAGCACATGCTCTGTGGAACATTGATCTAAACTCCTCTTGGACATTAGGATCCACCCCTGAGCCCCGGCAGCCTATGGAGGGATCCAAATTCCCACTCATTGGTGATGTTGGACCAAGGACAGCCGAAGTTGATGGATTTGGTCACAGCACACAGTTGTGTAGGGGGTCAGGGTCAAACCCAGCCACATATGGCCCCAGTGCCATGCCCTTGCCTTATCTCCCCTGAAAACACTCCCCTCAACCTCAAGCATAGAACCCAGGGGCTGCCTCCAAGAGGACAAACCTCCCTCCCCTCTGGCCATGGGGTTTCTCCAACCCTCCCTGGACTGTGCCATGAGCTTCTTCCCTGTCCTCATGAGGAGATTGGGGGCCCCCATTAAAAGCTTTCTCTTTTTTAGAAAAATCCCAGGATAGGTGTGTAGTACAGTGGTAGAGTATGTGCTTTGCATACATGAGGCCTTGGGTTGAAGCACCATCACTGCACACACACAGAAAATCCCAAGTGACCCCTCCCCATGACTGAAACTCCACCACTTGCTCCCCACACCTTGTGAGGTCAGCAGTGACACGCTCAGAGGCCATCAGCCAGAAGCCCTTTACCTTGTTGCTCAGGATGGCTTTAATGTGCTCCTGCACCAGGACCAGCAGCTCTGGGGAGATGCTAAGGAGGAGATGCACAGAGGGGCCTCAGTCCCAGGGCCTGTCTCTCAGCAAGGCTGCAAGGCTGGGACAGGAGCCTCTGTCCTCAGCCAGGAGCCCAGCGACTCCCAGCCAGCACCCCACTGTGTGCCAGACGATGCTCGAATAATTATTCCCATACTTGCAGAGATGGAAACTAAGTCGAGTCTCAAAGAAGGGAGCCATTTGTCTCAAGGTTTGGCAGTGGCCAAGAGTGTGACAACTGAAGCCAGGATCAGGAAAGACAGAGGACACTACAAAAGTCAGACTTGCCCACGGCCTTGTCATGGCTGCTCTGAGCCCAGTGAGGCTGGGGACTGGAGCTGGGGTTCCAGGGCTGCTTCCTGCTTCTGCTCCATTCTCTGTAACACACCTAGTAAAGTCCCTTCCTAGCTGTGGACCTTAGTTCCTCTCTGAACAACAAAGAGATAATCTAAGTCAGCAGTTCTCAATGGTGGTCCACAGGAACCTGTCTCTTGGTTTCTTAAGATGCTGGTTTGCCAAGCTGCATCCCAGCTCCCCGAATCCCCATAGGAGGTAGAAGGCAGGTATCTGTGTTTTACAGTATCATCTTGGGGCCTCCCCTTCAATAAATGGGAAGCAGCCCCTGCTGTGGGTTGGAACTGATGATCCTAGGACCCAGCAGAATGTACCCCTCTATGGCGACAAATTCCAAACTTTGTGCAAATATTGCATTGTTTTTGAAGACTCCAAAATGCTCAGGTGGAATGAGCCCTGCCCACATTTAGGAAGACACAGACATGATGAGGGGCAAGCACAGGCAGTGGGATAAGTCAGGCTGCCTAGGCTTGAATCTGGCTCTGTGACCTAAGGCAAGTCACTTAACTGTTCTGTGCCTCTGCTTGTTCTCTTGTAAAAGGAGGGGAACATTCACACCTACTGGTGGTCTACTGTGAGGATCTCGCACATGATCCCCACAAAGGGCCTCCAGTGGTGCCCAGCACATAGTAGGTACTCTGGAAGTAGGTGCTGTTGTTAGCCTTCCATGCAGTCATGAGCAACCACCTGACCCTGACAGCTTGGGCCCCACCCCTCCCTTCTGACTTCCCATCTCTGCTGGGAGGGGTGGCCCCCAAGGCTCCTAACAGCTGGTCTGACCCACCCAGAACCCTCCTTGAGGAGGACATTCCTGGCTAGAGTGCATTAGCAATGGCCAGGACACAGGCTGTCCCTCAGGGAAGTCCCTCCTCTGCTCAGAAACAGCACCCTAACCTTGGCACAAAGACCCCTGCACCCCACTATCACTCACCTGTTACTGTCATGAAGCACCCTGGCAGGGCTGAAGATGGAGGAGCAGGTGGAGATGCTGACCACAGGGGTCCTGATGGGTCCCTGGGCCACACGGGCATCTGCTGTCAGTGCCACAGGCAGCATCAGCTCCAGAGTTTCAGGGGTGCTGGATGGGGGCACAGCCTGAGTCCCAGCAGTGCCATCCAGCCAGGCCACCCCAGTGGATGAAAGACCTCACAACCTTGGGCTGGCCGCCCTCCATCTGGCACAGGAGGCCCCACCCAGCATGAGACAGCCCCACCTGGGCAGACCCCAGGCCCCCCGACCCCACTCAGGGCCACAGATATACTGCTGCAGATGGCTGGGAACCTTGGCTCTCAGTGACCCCTCACTGCCAGACCCTGGCCACTACCACCACGCTAAGCCTCAACTTCCCATTTGTGCAATGGACACAAGATTGGTGACACTCGGTTCACAGGGCTGTGCTGAGTTGCCCATGAGGTCTCCACTTAAAGACACCCAGCTCTGGCCTGGCCATAGTGAGCACCTGGGGCATCACAGTACCAGGCAGAAGTCCCTCAGAATACCAGCTCAGGAATTAAAAATTAAATGTGGTACCAGGGAGTTAGCTCAGTGGCACTGCACCTGCTTCTCAAGTGCAAGGTCCTGAGTTTGAGCCCCTGTACTGAATACAAAAAACTTCCTAACACCACATGCCTGGGGCACAGAATCATTCTGATAGCTGTGTTTATTGAGCACCTATTGTGTCCCAAATTACAATAATGAATCCCCTCACTACAACCCTCACAGCCACCTGCAAAGTGTCATCCACAAAGTGTCACCACAAAGACACTGAGAGCTGGAAAAGTGGAGGCCTCTGCCAGTCACACAGCCACTGAGCAGGATCTGGGGTCTCACCTGCCTCCCAGGGTGGGACTAAGGGGCTGGAAGGAGATGCAGCCCCTTCCCTTACTCTGCCCTGGCCACACCCCTGAAACTCGAGACTCACTCACCGGAAGACCTTGATGGTAAAATTGGCTGTTGCCATCAGACGTAGCCCAAAACCAGCAATGAATTTCAGGTCAAGGTGGGACACGTGGACATCCAGAGTCTGGGTCCTGCACAGTAGGAATCAAGGTGACAAGGGACACCCCCCACCCTCTTAAGCCACAGAATCAACTTTGGGGTGAGCCGCTGTTGATGTGATAAAGCAAGGCTTCTGAGCCTGGAAATGTGAGGCGAGGAAGAGGTAGTAAGGCCTCCATCACACAGAGCGTGTGAGCCAAGGATGGAGAGTCAGCAGGCAAGGAAGATAACCAGAGGGACCTAGCCTCAGGCAGGACTTGGGTGAGATGATTGTGCAGTTTCCGACAGTTTCTGGCAGCAGTCTAGGAAACTGGGAAGGTGGTGAAGAGACTGTGAGATCCACCAAAGGCAGAAACCCCCTTGGTGCACTTAGTGCCAAACCCTTGGCGCGTGGCCCTCCAGGAGCAGGAAACTCACTCCCTCCAAAGCTGCCTGTCCTGGGCCACTCCATGCAAGCTCTCTCCAGGGCCCCATGACTTCCTCTTTTCCTGAGTTAAAGTCAGTATTTTTTTCTTTGCACAGTAGTTGAGGGGGAAAATTCAGATACCACAAATGGTATGAAGTATAAAGGTCACATCAAACCCCACCCTCTAACACCCTTAGTCTCGGAGGACACAGATCCACGACCCTCCCCAGCACACAGCAGGCCCCTAGCACCACACAACCACCCCAGGTGTGCTTCAGCACCAGCAAATGCCAATCCCCAGTGTGGTGTGAGGGTGTGGCCAGACCAGAAACAGTTTCAGAGATCTGAGTGTGTTGATTTACCCACGGGGTGTTCCAGGGGCTTAAAGTTAAGCTTTTCAACTGTCATCATTAAGAATGATAGATAGATAGATAGATAGATGATAGATAGATAGATAGATAGATTCTCTTGAGGACCCAGCAATCTGTCAGTAGCGAGTCTGTGTTCCCACATTGGATGGGGACAATCAGCCCAGCCACTAGAGGTGACTGAGTTTGAGACGCCCCATCTCCCTATGACTTTGAGTCTCTGAGCATTGGAGGGGAGAGGAATTAGGCTCAGACTTGTGTCTAAACTCAGCATCTAGCTTCTGGAGGAAGCAGCCTAGGGTCTTCTGAGTTCTCCAGACCCAGGGGCCACAGTCTTGGTCTCTGAAGGCAGAAATCCACTATTTCAGAGTTGCCAGGCCCCCATGGTGCCCTCTTGGTCCTGTTTCCTAAATCTTGTAACTATTCACCTGCTGGGTGGGAGGCACCTAACGTGGTGAGGGAAGGACTCACTACAGGTGCCTCATTTGATGAGCTGGACCTGGTGTCCAGGGGCTGCGAGCACTGCCTTCCAAGGACATCTACCTGGAAGGGGGACTCTTGCAAGATCTCCCCTCCTGGTAGACTAAAACACTCATCTGGCCCGCAGGGACATTCCACCTGGTGACAGGAGCGCCTTCTCTGGTGAGGGAGCACTCACCTGGTGGGCTGATGCACCTCACCACTCTGATCCAGGAAAGGTGGAACCATGACCTTTAGGGCCCGCTGGAGAGAGACTTTCCCAACATCAGCAACTGCAGGGCCAGGGCAGGGTGAGGTCAGGCTGGCATCAGGAGCAGCAAGAACACACTGCCCACCATCTGCCCTGCACCCTTCAAGGAGACAACTGAGACACAGGGAGGGATGGGCTGGCAGGTGGCACACAGGGAGGATGCCAGCTCCACACGAGCCACGTTAGACGGCTCACACCAGCCCTGGGCTTCTGCCTCTCAAAATCCCGCTTGAATCCATCCCATTCCTCAAAGACAATAAAATCTGTTTCCTCTTTCCTGGCTCCAAATGGCTCCCCAAGCCTAATGGCCAAGGGAACGTCCCCTGGGAGGAGCACAGTGGCATCACCGGAGGCTGAGCACTCAAGAGTCCCTCAGATTCTGGGCACTGGTCTCAGCTCTACTAGTCACTGCCTATGTGGCCGCTCTGTGCCTCAGTTCCTGTAAGTTTATCACTGTGCTTGTCACTCAGAGCCATTGCAAAGACTGCACGGTGTATCACTGGTGCTATGGGTCTTTGTATAATTGTGATGTGCCTTGCACAGCACTCCTGGTGTGCCAGGCATGTTCCAAGTGCTCTCTTCTGCCCAGCTTTCAGGGAGGTGAGGTCAGCTGGCCTGGGACCTGCAGATTTCTGCCCTCACCTGTATTGCTGGACTCAGTTGCTAATAAAGTCAAGTTGAGCTAAAATGAGAGGCCACAATGCTGGAAGGGAACAAGAATTTAGGAGTAAAGAGGCTCAACTCACTTCGGAATGATGGGAAATCACTGAGCCTCTCTGGGCCTCAGTTTCCCCAGACACAGAGCAAAAAGGTGGTGGTCTTCATGTTTCCAATGCCCCTCCCCAACCTAACCATTAGGCCTTGGACTCCATCCACAGTGCTCCCCTGGCTCAGAGCCTGAACTCTAGGGTGTACAGGAACAGGGGCAGGATGTAGGGAGAGTCTCCCAGCACAGACTTGGAGGCAGTGTGTGCAGTGGTGCCACTCGCCGGGTTTCCGCCAAGAACAAACACAGGCAGATGCGCCAGGGGAGGACTCCTTCAGGACAAAGGATGACTGCACAGGACAGGCAGAGGGCAGAAGGGTGGCAGTGGGCGGCGAGCCTCGTGTCCCTGCCTGCAGGCACCGGTGTGCGGCGTGTGGGATCGCACTGTGGCACGGATCACTGACCGCTTTCATCCTCTGCCCATCTGCCCGGATGCAGGTCCTGGACAGCTGTGTGTGCCCTGGGGGTGGGAGGGGACCCTGCTGTTTCCCGGAGCCGCTGACTCAGTGCTTTGTGGCCTGGACCATTGAAAGTCCCTTCTACTGTCCTTCACACTGTGATCTAAATTTAATCTGGTCTTGGGAAAAATGTGTGCTGATTTCTCAGACTGACCCTACTTTGGTGGGACCCCCCCCCCGCCCCAAACTACTCTGAGAGGCAGCTTGATGTGAAGAAAGATTTTTGTGCTGGAGTCCTGGACCTTGACAACCTTTGTTCCTCCCTTCCTCATTGTGCCTTCCCCAGTGGACAGGGCAGGACTCAGAAGGATCTAGCAGTACTCCAGCCACAGTGGAACACAACTATAATCTCAGCACTCTGGAAGGCTGAGGCAGGAGGATCACAAGTTTGAGCCTAGCCTGGGCAGATTAGCAATTTAGTGATACCTTGTTTCAAACTGAAAAAATAAAAAGGGGCTGGGGGATGCAGTTTAGTACCTGCTCCCCAAAATCTAACAGCAAAGCCATAAGATAGAGACCTGGCCCCAGTGGGCCCAGAATGAGGCTGGCTCCCTCATGCTGAGCCCAGCAGACACCTCACTCCCTGCAGAACTAGGTTTGATACACCTGTCTTCAGCACATGTGTACAAAGACATAACACACACATGTGACATGCAGCCACACCTGTGCACACACATGCAGCCCATGCATACATCTTGCCCAACACCTATGCACACCCTGAGGACATCTCCACAAGGCACCAACTCTTAGGCAGACATACACTTGCAAACACACAGCTGTGCCCACACCACAGAGCTATGTGCACAGCTGCGAGCACACACTACTGCTCATGCATCCACCTCAAAGCAGCCATGTGTTGGGTGCTGTCTGAGAGCCAGGGACACCACGGCAGATGAAAATCCAGTCCCCTCCCCACACATACTTGGCTCTCATGCACATGCTGGCAATCCATCTCTCACCATAGCTCAGTGCCGCCCTGTTGATTCGGACCACGGTGCCCGTCGAGGAGGTGGGGACTGCAGGCAGCAGTAGTGCCAGCAACAGGCCCAGCCCATGATGTGCCCCAGCCATGGCTGCCCAGCCACTGCCCCAGGATCTGTGGGCTGGGGTGGAGACAAGCATCAGGGAGTCTGGCCAGAATGGCCCACTCCGGGGTGCTCAGAGCCTGCTCCAACCTGGAGGACCCAAGCCCCAGCCATGATCTCAGCCCTGCCCCTCGTGCCCAAACAGCCCTGTTTGCATTTCTGCACTGAGGATGACCATCCTCCTTTGCCTGCTTCCTCAGGAGCCATGAGGGAATCTTGGGAAGAAATAGCCCCCAAGGCCCAGAGAGGGCATGGCCTTGCCTAAGGCCACACAGCAGACAGGCCAAGTGCCAGACCCAAGCCATGTCAGATGAGGACGGTGAGACTCCCAAATAAAGAGATAACCCAAGAAGAGGCCCAGGCCCATCACCCCAAGGCCCAAGGTTGTGTCACCTAACTCGAGGAGTCAGCCCAGTGTAACAACTAGCCTGATATCCAGCCTCCCAAGCACTCAGGATGGCTCCTGCCCTCACCTCATCCTGGCCAGATGAGGAACGGCCAGGGACTAAGCCATTCCCCTGACGCCCCAGGCCCTCCCAAGGCATCCCAGCCCAGCAGGCAGCTCTTTGTCCACCTCAGAAAGGGGCTTCATTCCCAGCAGGAGAGTCGAGGGGCCCCTGCCCAAATGGCAAGGCCAGCAGGGCAGCCCTTGCTTGAAGTCCCTTTAAGCCCAGGCTTGTAGGAGGCCTTCTGCAGAAGGCAGCTGGAGGCAGCTACCCCAGAGAGGCGCCAGTCCAGCCCCTGCCTACCTCACGATCTGGAGCCAGGTGAGTGCTCAGCCCCAGGCCAACCCCACTCTGTACCAGAGTTGAGCAGAGGCTGCTTATGAGGCTCCCAGTGGGGACCCAGGGAGAAGCAATTCTGTGTGGCGGCAAGTGTTTTCCCTGCAAACATGATCTTTGGCAAAGTGCGCCATTTCCTGGGTGCGATGAGGCTGCCACATCACCAGGCCTGGCTGCCAACTCCTGTGGGACACTGGAGGGGCAACTAGGCCTCAAGGGCCAGGAGGGTAGAAGGAGGGCTCTTCCCAGGAGTGTCCCCACATCATCCCAGCTGTCCTGGCCAGGCCCAGGGGACAGCAGCAGTGACCCCTCAAGCCTAGCATATCCGAGCTCTCCCAGAAACGTGACTCTTTTAGGAGGGGCAGAGGGCTACCTGAGCCCTATTCTCCATCACTGCCTGAGCCCTGATCCTGGTCACACACTGAGGCTTAACACAAAAGGAAGCAGATGAACAAATATGGATGACCCAGTCCCCACCGCCCAATACCCAGCCCTTTACAAATGTACATCGCGGCCGAGCCCTGAGCTATCACCCCTTCCCCATGACACACTCTGGAGTCTACCCCAGCTTTACAGGACCTGAAGAACTGGGTATTCCTGTGAGGCAGTTATATATACAATAAAGTGCGTGTGAGAGAGAAAGCTATGTGTGCATGGTTACAGGCATACGTGTGCACTCATGTGTGATGACTGGAATCAGAGGAAGATGTGTGTTTGGGGAGGGACTATGACCTGGCACACTGACATCTTGGTAGACCGTGTGACAAGTCAATTTCTACAAACTGACATGAGTGCAGATGTGACAGGTTTTGTGTAGGTGTGTGTGTGGCTTGGTCTGCTGTGTCTATGGTCTGTGAGTGTACATGGTAAGTGCATGTGTGTACAGTGGGCTGTTCCCTGGGTGTGGTGTGTGTGTGTGTGTGTACACGTGTGCATAAAAGGTGATGGCCCAGTTGCAGGAAAGACTTCTCTGTACCTCAGCATGATTCACCCAGGCCAGAGGCCCAAGGGGCCTCAGAGATTCCCCTAGTCACAGCCCTCTGTGGCTTCCACTGACTCTACACCAGCCCCAAGTACCAGCCCCGAGCTCAGACCCACCCTCTACTGGGTCTTCAATGTTGTCTACACAGCTGAGAGGGACCACAAACAACTTAAGCTCTCCTTGGGTGGTCAGGAAACACCTGGACCAGCCCTGACTCCTGGCCAGTGCTCCCAGCCCCAATTCTAGAGGCAGGAAAGATAGAGGAGAGCTTGTTGCAAGCACCCTAACATCTCACTCCTAGCCTCCATTTGTCCACTGATGCCTAAGTTTAGGTCCTCTTGATCCTCATCAGAGCCTAAGCAAACACTGGACTCAACGAATAGGAGTTCAAACATTCAGCACTCGGGGAGGGTGAGGCAGGAGGATCACAAGTTCAAGCCCAGCCTGAGCAACTTAGCAACACAGCAAAATCTTGTCTCAAAATAAAAAAGACTGGGGATACAGCTCAGGGCAAAGGCCCTGGGTTCAATCCCCAGTAGCACATACACACAAAAACTGCAAATATTGACCAAAGTCACTCTCAGTGTTTGCTTTGACATGAACACATCCGCCAACACTTCCAACACAAGGGACATTTGGGTGACATCCAGGTAACACAAAGGAAGGATTCCCATCAGCTCATCCTCAGGGCCCAGCAGCCTCCCTCCAGCAAAGTCAACCACTGTTTGCTGAGTGCCTGGCACACACAAAGAGCTCTGCATCCACTCTACCTCATCCTTGAGATGGGAGTTTGTTCTGCTCAACCCCGTATTCAGTGCCTGAAGCACAGCAGATGCTTAATACATTTGTTGAGTGAAAAAAATGAATGAATGCACAATAGAAAGACCCTTGTCACAGCTGATGGCAGAATTTCAATTTTCTCTTCACGGATTTCTCAGGAGCCTTGTACCCACCTCCTATTGCTGCTGTAACAGATGACCACCAATTTAGTGACTCAAAACATAAACTTATCATCTTCCAGTTCTAGAAGTCACAAGTTAAAAATGGGTCTTGCTGGGCTAAAATCTAGGTGGTGTCAGCAGGGCCACATTCTTTGCTGGAGTCTATAGGAAAGGACCTGTTTCCAGGCTGTCTCCAGCTTCTGGCTTCTGGTTCAACCCTCCATCTTCCCTCTTCCACTTACAAGGACCCTTCTGATGGCAATGGGCACATCTGGATGGATAATCTAGGAGTCTTCCCATCTCAAGATCAGCTGAGTAGTGACCTTAACTCCATCTGCTACTTGAAGTTCCTCTTTGCTGTTTAATTTAGGAACATTATTAATCCACTTCCCACAGGGACTTAGCTTACAATTTTGAGCCAAGGCCACCAGGGAGGCAAAAGTAAGTTTATTTTAGCTTCCAGAAAACACCTAGCCAGATAGTCCCATCATCTGGTGCTTTTATTTTCCCCAGTAGGTACAGCTTTATTAAAACAACACATGGAAAAAAACCCCAAACACATGGAATGCTATTCTGTGTGACACAAAATGTCTACCAGGGAAAAGCTCAGTGTGACCTGGCCCAGTTGCTGGAGCCTCAGCTGACACCCCTGTCCTGCCCTGTAAGGGCTGGCACAGCTCTTCCTGTTTTATGCCTTCAGTTTCCCCTTCTTAAAGATGGAGAGGTAATCACAGTGGTGTCCTCTGATGGGGAGGTTCTGGAGCCAAGCTAGAGACAGGGTGGCCTCCCCGCCTACCTACACTGTGAGGTCACAATATTCACAGTTCCACCTCACCCCAGCAAGTCCACATGTCACCTTCCAGGAAACACTCAGAGGTGGTGGCAGCAGCCACTTTCTCCTCATTGAGTCCCAGAGATCCCAGAGATCCCACCACCATTTCTCCATCCTAGAAAAAGACATCAATGCCACGGTCCTCAAGGAACCCTAGGGACCCATGTATTCTGTCTGAAGATATGGCTTACAATACCAGGCCCAGGAGGTGAGGATAGCAGCCCCTCCCTTTGCCCAGCCCTTTACACTTTATGAAAGACATTGTCCTCTCCTGGGAGGTAAGCTGGGTATGGCAATCATGCTGCAGATGTAGCAGCCAAGTGACCCCAGAGAGGTCTGGTGGTAACTTCCCAAAGTCTCCAGCCAGGAGGTGGCAGAGCAGCCATCCTTCCAGCATGTGGTTCTTGCACACCTGCTGTGTGCTGGGCATGGGGCAGGTGTCACAGCAAAGCAGAGCAGCTCAATGCTATAGGCCAGTGTTACAGCTCAGTGTCACAGCCAAAGTGCCACAGCTCGGAGGCACAGCTGAGCACTACAGCTCAGTCTGGCAGCTCTGGGTCATAGCTCTCACATTTTGAAGACTTGAGAAACCAAAGGTCACTTGAAGAGGAACCTTTATTACACCTTTATTAATAAAGTTTATTAACTTTATTAACCTTTATTATATGTATTAATATTACATATTATTCAGAGGGATTCATACTCTGAAGTCTGAGTGCTCTACCAGAACTGAGACCCTCCTTATATAGGGATCTACAGGGTAGATGAGCATGCTCACTGAAGCAGAGGGGTGGAGCTACAGAACATTCTCACATGGGGGCAAAATTTAACAGAACATTCTTGTAGGGGCGGAGCTTAACAGAACATTCCTGAAAGGGCACACAGTTCAAACAGTCATAAAACATTTTGATACATTGGGCTGGAGCATCACAAACTGTTACATTTCCAGAACAAAACATTTTATGGGAAAAAAAAAAAACAAAAAACGTGGAGGCAAGACAAAGGTATTATTGTGTATTATTGCTCTATCAGAGACCAGGGAGCACATTGTGCCAAACCCATATGTTCCCAGCCTTTAGGGAGCTCACACTTGTGAAGGAGGCAGGCATTGAACAAGAAAATGCACATCTCTGTCCCCTGAATTTGTGAGGGAGCCTCTGGTTGCAGGTTACAGAAATTCCAACCCAAAATGATGCCCACTTCTGGGCCCCAGGACAGCGATTGTATCCCAGGAAGGTATACAAAACAAACTCAGCTACTCAGGAGGCTGAAGCAGGAGAATCAGGAGTTTGAGGCCAACACAAGCAGATCAGTGAGGCCTTGTGTCAAAATAAAAATTAAAAAGGGCTGCTATAGATCAGTGGTGGAGCATCTGCCTTGCTTGTATGAGACTCTGGATTTTGTCCCTAGTACTAGAAAAAAATAACCCCAAGAGTAAGGGAAGAGAGCCGGGGATTTAGCTCAGTGGTGCCGCCGCCTGCCTCACAAGCGCCAAGGTCCCGAGTTTGATCCCCAGTACCAAAAAAAAAAAAGAATAAGGGAAGAAACTATTAGAACCTGGATATGTATTTTTTAGTTAATTCCCTTGTTTTTAATTGATATTTAGGAATTATACATATTTATAGGGGATAACATGATAATTCAGTACCTATGTACTACAGATAATGATCCAATCAGGTAATGTGCATTTCTTTATCTTGGGAAGCTTCAGCCTCCTCTCTTTCAGTTATTTTGAGATACATAATAAGATGTTGTAAACTATTTGTCCTACCTCCTATACATTCTTTAGGAATATAAAAATAAATCTGTACATTTGGAAAGGACAAATGATATTTATCATAACTGGGTATTATGTAAGTGAACTTTCTGTCACTATAACAGAAGACCTGAGGCAATTAACTTAGAGAAAAGGTTTATTTGGGTTCATGGTTATGGAGGTTCCAGTCCATAGTCAAGTGCCCCTCTCTTGCTTTGTGTGGCAGCATAGCATGATGGGAGTGAGTGGAAACAAAACTTTCTCATGAGCCAGGAAGCAAAGAGAGCGGGAAGAGCCTGGAGTTCCACAACAAGAAGAAGCCCTAGTGACCCAAGGACTTCCCACTAGGCCCTACCTCCTACAAGTCCACAGCACTGTCCCATAGTGCCAACCTGAGAAGCAAATCTTTAACACATGGGCTCTGAGGAAGAGGCATTCAACATCCAAATTATAGCAGGCATATGGATAGTTTCTTAATAAACATAAACACAGAGGGGGTATAATTTGTAAAAAGTTTGTAGACCATTGCCTTAAGAAATACTTTTGTCTCACCTACCAAGAAGTTCTAAGGAGTGAATGGCTCCAGAGTATGTATGTGAATTCCCCATTCTTTGATGCCTCCCAAGACCCAAGTTATTGTTGTCATTTGGTCTTCCTTATTAGTCTCCTCTCCCTTCAGTCACAAGATGGCTACAATTCCTGGTGTCACACAGAAACATGGGTATCTAGGGTAGAAGGAGAGCGGGCGCTGCTTCCTGTGAGTCTTGTTTCAGCAGTGACAAAATCATTTCCCCAAGTCCAATATGGCCAGAGCCACCACACCCTACCCCAACTCACCCATCCTTGAAACCAACACTCCAAGGTGATGGGTGGGCTACAAAAGGTTTCAAGCAATCTGAGGCCTTAAATCTCATGGGGTAGCAGAAGGGTAGTAGATGAGGTATAAGACAAAAATAAGGCTTCTGACAAGAAGGGCAGGGAATGGCTTTTGGATAACAATCGCCATGGTGGCCATAGCAACCAGAGTCTTTTCCTCAAAAGAGGCCTGGATTTGGGACCAGCCAGAGGGATCCATCTCTGAGGTGTAGCCCGGCAGTTTATAAACTGCTCTGCAGCTCAGTTTCTCTGTCTGGAATGTGGTAACATCATGTAACCTCCAAACTTTAAAATGTGATTGTGATCATGACCCTTGTCCCCAGGGGCAATCAGCGAAGCCGGAATCCCTGCAGGGTGGCCGAGGAGTCCACAGCACGAAGGAGTGAGTCAAGAGGGGGACCCCTGGGGGCTGACTGGCAGCTCAGAAAGGTCTAACAGGCAACTCAGGGGGCCCAGCAAGAGGAGGAGATAGCGGTGGGGTGGGGGTAAGGGGATACTTGCACCAAGCTCATATCCCAGAGGGTGGCAGCTACCTGACAGTTCCATTCTCTCTGTAGATGATGGCTTCCTGTTGCCTGCCCATGTCGACACCCCAGCTGTCAGCCTGACACACTCTGTGCTGGGATATGTGTGTATGTATGCACTGAAGCCTCAGCTTGGCCATCGATGTGGCCAAGGAAAGGGTCCAGTCTCAGGCCATGTGGACCCCGGCCAGGCAAGGCCAGCCCTGCTGCAGGGTTTGCAGGCAGCAACAGGCTGAGCACTGAAGCCTCCCCACAGAGGGTCCTTCCAGGCAGGGTCTCTCTGGCGATTGAAAGGGGAAGTAGGAAGGAGCCTTGCTGTTTAAAGGAGGAGTTACCTGCCAGCCCTCCTCTGCTCTGATTCCATCATCCATTTATCTATCCACCCATCATTCCATCCATCCATCCCTCCGTTGAGTCATTCTTCAGTTTGTCCACACTGGTATTTGTTGATATGTCCATCCATCCGCTCACCCATCTCTGTGCCCATCCATCTATCCTCTCCTTCTCCCATGTTCTTACATTTTCCTATTCATTCATCTTCCAAGCCAGGCAGCCCCTCCCTTTGTCCTCCAACCATCTATGTGTCCTTCCACTTCCAGCCATCACGAATCCCTAATTTTTCCCTAGCTCCATGCGAGACACCTGGAGATAAACCCAACAAGGACCCTGTCCTTGCCAAGCTCCCAGTGCTTTCTGTGCTCCAGAGTCACTGCTGGCATCTATTAAGTGCCACTTCTTGGCAAGCAGTGCTCATCTGTGGGACCTGTACTCACTCCAGGCTGGTGCTCACCTATGGCTTGAGCCAGGGGCTGTCCAGGGGCTCTCCAGCTCCAGGACAATCAGTGAGTCTGTGAAATAGGATTCACCCGCTTCCTGTCTCCACTGTAGCCTGGTTCACCTGCCTGGCCTGCTTCCTGAGAACCCAAGCCCAGCAAGTCCTGTTCAATACCTGCAGGTGAGCGGGAGGTAGGGGAATGTGGATGGAACAACTGTTGACCATGCAACCCCTTCATGGGTTTGGACCTCCTCCTGATAGCCAGAATAGATAAGCAATCCCAAACCTGGCTTTTATCAGAACCCCAACCCAGAACCCACTGTGACTCCCCTGGCTCCAGCTCCTCTTCCTGCAGCCACCCCCACCCCCCAAATCCTGCCCCTGCTTCCTTTCCAAGTTCCCCTCATTTGGCTTCCTGCTGTGGACCCACAGGGCCAGCCAGCCTTGGGTTCTCTCTCTGGACACTGCTCCTGTTCCCAGCCCTACGCCCTTGCCTGGACTGTGTTGGGAATATGCCCTCATACTCAATTTGTCAGTGCAGATAATCAAGCATTCAGACATCAAGATATCTTGACAAGGCAAGGTTATTTTACCTCTGCAGAAAGGCACGAGCATGAGGGAGTAAGCGTATGCAGAGGCGCAGCAAGGAGCAGGCTCTTTTATTTTCTAATGTGTGAGAAGCAGCTGACCTCCTCCCCATTGGCTTGTTTGAAAGTTCACAATCTAACCCAATTGGCTAGTTTAAACCCGCTCCGGGAAAACCTGAAGGGTTGCTGGGCAGGGTTGCTAAGGGAGGAGAGAGTAGGGTATGGAGAACTGAGAGTCCTTGGCTGTTGATAAGTTATCCTCGGTGGTCAGTTGTTTTCCTGGAGTCTAAGCTGAGCAGACATTTCCAGTAACTCTGGTGTAAGGGGTGGGGGAGCGCTGCCTAAGGCGGACCAGAGGTTAAGATGGAGGTCTTCCTGTTTATATCCTTCGATGGAAAAGACAGGGCTGAGGTTTCTCACAACTGTGTTTCCTGCCCGGGCCGCTTGCTCCTTCTCTCCCTTTACCTGCTCCATACGTGTAAATTTCTTTGTGCTCTTGCAGAGCTGTCTGCCTCATTCATCCATTTAAAGTTTAAATTTTAACCTTTCCTTAATGCTCACTCGGGGCCCAGCCCTGGCCCGACCACTCATGAGCTCCCCCAGAGGCAGACACAAAACCAAATGCTAGGAGTGTTGACCCTGGGGTTCTAAGGGGAAGGTCACTGGGCTGACCCCTGAAGGCCAGTGCAGCAGGGAGAGAAGGGCAGGGCGTGAACCTGCAGGAGCAGCAAGGGAGTGAGGAAGGGGAGGGGAGCACTTGCCTGACTCTCCCGCCTCCCCCCGCCCTTGACGATGGCTTCTCTGGCTTCCAGATGCAAGCTGCTCTGCCAGAAGCTTGTGGAGAAAACAGTCATTCTGGTCCTCTGTGCCTTTGGTGAGTCTCCAGGGCCCTGCCTGGGTGTGAGCAGCCCTGGGCCCTGCCCCATCCTGGGGAGAGAAGATCAAGTGTTCTGCCACTGACTCTGCGACACTGGGAAGGCGCTGCCCCTTGATGTGCTCAGTGTCCCCATCTGTCTAATGTGGGGCAGGGGAGGGGGGCGGTGCTGTAAGGAATATATGAAATGATGGCCAAGAAAAATCATTATTACAGCCTCTTTCTGGCTTTCCATGGCTTCTTTCTGGCCACCGCCACTGCCGCCCACGTCACAGGGTTGCTTTCCCAAGCTAAGGAAACTGCCCCAACTCCACTGAAGTATACTGGCCTTGGAGTGGGGTGTCAGTGGGGGAGGAAGAAAGAATCAGATCCCCTAAGGAAAAATGAGGACAAGAGAACCTCCCTGCGTTAACCCAACAATAGGATTTTCTAAAATAACAGCTCTATTGAGATACAATTCTAGACCATAAAGTTCAACCTTTTAAAGCATATAATTCAGTGGTGTTTAGTGCATTCACAAGGTTGTACATCCATCACCACTATCAAATTGGGGAATACTTTCATCAATCCAAAAAGAAACCCCTTATCTGCTAGGAGTCATTTCCGCATTCTTCCTAGGCAACCACTTTTTTTCTGTCTATATAGATTTGCCTATTTTGGATATTTTATATAAATGAATAAAGCAACATTTGTTCTTTGTAGCTTCTTTCACCTAGCATAATGCTTTTGTGATTCGGGCCGGGGATTTAGCTCAGTGGTTTCGCTGCCTGCTGCACAAGCGCAAGGACCCGAGTTGGATCTCCAGTACCAAAGGGAAAAAAAAAGTCAAGATTCATCCATGCTGTAGCATGTATCAGGACTTTATCCTTTTATGATAAAAAAAAAAAGTCATGTGTGTGTTTGTGTGTGTGTGTGTCATATACTTCATCAATTGACAGATAACTAGGGTTTGTTTTTGCTTTTTGGCTATTTCTTCTATGAAGGTTCCTGTGCAATTTTGGTTTGTATGGTTTTTGTGTGGATGTGTTTTCAACTGTCCTGGGTATTCACAGAGGTGTAGAATTGCTGAGTCCTATGGTAGCTCTATATTTAGCTATTTCAAGACCTGCCAAACTGCTTTCCAACGTGGCATCTCCATTTTACCTTCTCACCAGCATTTTGCCTTCCCACTCATGAGTTGCTCCACATTCTTACCACTACTTGTTATTATCTTTCTTTTTTTCTATAAGCCATCTTAGAGGGCATGAATTAATATAACACTGTAGGTTTGATTTGCATTTTTCTAATGATTAATGATGTTAAACTGTAGGGGACAGGGGAAGGGGACGTTACCAGAACCTCTGCAGTTAGTCCTGGTCTCCTGCGAGCCACGGCAGCACACGGCGAATTACAGGAAAGGTAGAAAAATGAGACCGAGAAGAAGCTGAGCTTTGGGTCTGATCAGTGCTGCTCTGGGCGGCAAAGACAAAAGCCCCCAGCTTACCACACCTTTTATTCAGTACATTGGGAGAAACAAATGTAACAAATGACTTGCAGAGAGTTCAGTACATCGGGAGGAGCAAATGTAACAAATGACTTGCGGAGAGTTCAATAGTTCACATTGGGATAAACAAGGTGTAACAGAAGGCTTGCAGAGAGTTCAGTACATCTCGGGTAAACAAGATGTTAACAGTCCAAGAACAACGAGGAACTGAGCAGATGTTTGTTCTCCCAGGATGTTTCTTGTCCTGGAGAATCACAGCATCACTGGATCACTGAAGTCTCAGTTGTGACCGGAGGCCAAACTGGAGTTATTCTGTAGCTGGGCTGTAGGCAAGAGAACCAGGCTAACCAAAAGATTTTTCCCTAGAATTATGTAGCATTGCTCCCAACATTAAACAACTTTTCCTGTGCTTCTTGGCCTTGTGTACCAAAGCTTTGGAAAATTCCTACTCAAATCCTTTGCTCATTTGGATTGTCTTTTTATTACTGAGTTATAAGAATTATTTACGCAGTCTGGATACAAGTCCCTTATCAGATAGATGATTTGCAAATATCTCCTATTTTGTGAGTTGTATTTGCACTTTCTTGGAGGTGTCCTCTGAATCACAAAATTTTTAAATTTTGATGAAGCCCAAGTAATCTATGTTTTTTTTCACTGCTAATGCTTTTGGTGTAATATTTACAAAATCATTTGCCTAAAGGTCATAAAAAGGCTCTCCTATATTTTCTTCTAGAATTTTATACTTTTAGTTCTTACATTTAGGTTCATGATCCACTTTTTAATTTTATTTTTGCATATAGCATGAGGTAGGAATCCAACTTCATCTTTTGACTATGTATACCTAGTTGTTCCAGCACCATTTATTGAAAAGGCTATTATTTGCCTCACAACTGTTTCGGCACCTTTGTTGAAATTCGATTGATGCTAAATGTGAGCGTTTTATTTCTGAATTCTCAGTTCTGTTCTGTTGATCTATATGTCGATCTGTATTCCATTACTACCCTGGATTGATTGGTACAGCTTGTTGTCAGTTTTGTAATCTGGAGTGTGATTCCTCCAACTTGGTTCTTTTCCAAGATTGTTTTGGTTATTATGGATCCTGTACCTCTCCATATGAATTTCAGCAAAAGAGGCCAATGGGATTTTGATGGGGGTTGTATTGGTCAGTAGATGAATTTGGGAAATAGTGTCACCTTAACAATATTAAGGCTTTCAATCCATGAATATAGGCTATCTTTCCATTGCTGGTGGATATCTCACTGTCTTCTTTAATTTCTTTCAAGAGCGGTTCCTTATTTTTAGAGTACAAGTGTTGTGCTTCTTTTATTAACTTTATTCCTAAGTATTTCATTCTTTATGAAGCTATTGTAAATGGGATTATTTTCTTAATTTCATTTTCAGATTGTTCATTGCCATCATATAGAAATACAATTGATTGTGTGTATTAATCTTGCAACCTGCTGAACTCATTTATTAGTTATGACACTGGGCAAGTTGCCTAGTATTCAATACCTTAGGATTCTATGTGTGATATCATGTCATTTGCAAAAAGTGATAGTATTACTCTTTCCTTTTTATCAACCTGGATACCTTTTATCTCTTTTTCCTGACTAACTGACCTAGTTAGGACCTCCACAATAATGTTAATTAGAAACAGCAAGAGCAGATATCCTTGTGTTCTTCCTGATATTAGCAGGTAAATGTCCAGTCCTTCACCATTAAGTGTGATACTAGCTGTGAGTTTTTCCATAAACAGCATTGATCTGGTTGAGGAAGTACTCTTCTATTCCTAGTTTGTTAAATTCTTCATCAAGAACACATAAGTTTTAAAGATTTTTACATAATGGCTTCACTGATGAGATTTCAGTCAAACTGGAGATCACAAAATGTCACCACCCAAAAGAGACTACTCTGCTTTCTTCTCTTGGTCAATTATCCCCAGCAAGGAGAGGATGGGAGAGTGGAAGAAGACAAGTATCATATAGCTTATGTGACATATATAACATATGCCATTTGAACATGGAATGAGTATTATTGTTGTTCCCATTTTATAGAGGTGGAAACTGGGGTATAGAGAGGTTAGGTAAAGTCTCCCAAAGTTGTATAATGCTAGCAAGTGCCAAGGCTGGGATCTGAACTCAGATGCCTTCATTTCAGAACCCAGACTATATGTTAAATGCCTCATTCTTTTTCTTCTGGCCCCACAGGATTCTGGTTGTTTTCTATGCACATACCATCAAAAATGGAAATCTGGCAGGTGAGTGTGTGTCCTCGCAGGCAGCACAGTTGACTGCTCTCATCACAACCAGCGCCCCCCAATACCTCTTCTCACTCTCCTCACATCCGAACCCCATCAATCTCTTGCTCACTGACTCATGCCTGATCCAAATCTCTGCCTTTGTCATACTGCCCACCTGGGGGACCCATCTCTCCTACCAAATGTGATGTTCAAAGACCAGATGCAATATTTCTTCCACCAAGGTGACTCTTCTGTCACTCTTCCCCAAAGATGCCCCATCTTTCATTTCGGAAGGCCCCCACCTAAAGCAAATTAATGAAAATAAGGAACACATTTCTCTCTCTACTCAAGGTAGTTTGTTTGTTTCTGCTTAAATGAGATGAGATCCATTTTCTTTGTGGATTCTGGGAAGGAAAGAAGAGAAAACAAGTGGCCAGAGCTCCCTGTTTAGGGAAGTCTCAGAAGCCCTATAAGGAATAGGGTCCCAAGGGCCCTGTTTTTTCCCTCTCCTCTATCCCTTATGAATGACTTCATATTGTTCAAGGCCCAGCTAAAGTATCACTTGTTCCAGAACCACCAAGACAAAGCAGTCATATTCTCCTTCCTCTCACAATTTTTTATAATCATAAATGCAATTTTCTATAATTATGACTGTCTCCCCAACTCTCTGGCAGCAATTTAAAGGAAAGAGAAAGGGCTGATGCATCCAAACAATGTCCAGCTCAGTGCCAGGCACAGGGCTGCCACTATTGATATTGCATGGCTGAGTTGCCAGCCAGATGACTGAGGGTGAACGGAAGAATGGATAGAAGGATAGATGAGTGAATGGATGGATAGATGAAGAGAAGTTGTATGTAAATGACATAGGAATGAGGGAACTGATGGGAGGATAGATGGATATGTAAATGGGAAAATTGATGGGTGATATATTGGACTGATGGGAAGTCAGATAGGATAGATGAGTGAGTGGATGGATGGATGAATGGATGGGGGAGGGTAGATGTATGAGCTAGGGTGAATGTCTGGGAGGGTATATGGAAGGGGAATTTAGAGAGATAGAAGAGTAGATGGATGTGGAAGGTAGGTGGATGGACATAGATGGATTAAAAGGAGAGTAATTAGAGTTTAGAAGATTGTGGGTGGGTTGATGGATGGAAGAGTAAACAAGAAGTTAGGTGAATGGATGCATTTATGGTTGTGGGAGAATGGATGGATGAAGCTCTCTTAGGTCTAGATTAGGCCATCTGATGGAGATTCCTGCTTTCCTCGACATTCTACCAGGATAACAGCATAAATAGTCCACTGCAGAGCTTGAGGTAAGAAGAATCTGCTTATTAGTCCTATCACCTAAAAATCACAGCTATAGCAAAAGGTTACAGTGCATTGGCTAGGGATTCAGGCTCTACAGTCAGACCAACCTGGATTTATATCGAGCCCCACAGATCCTACCTGTCTAGCCTTATTCAAGCCTTATTCACTTCCCTGGGCCTTTGACTTCTTATTTGTGAGATGAGGTCGATTACCCACCTTGCTCTAGGAAATTATGGGCATGATAAAAATATATGAAGAGCCTTGACTAGTTTCTAGTACATAGTCAGAGATCAGTAAATGGTAGCTGAGAAGAAATATTAGTCAACAAGTCACCATCTGTGTCCTTAATTACAGACAAAATTCTCAGAACCATTAGAAAGGAAGGATCTGGGTTTTTTGTTTTTGTTTTTGTTTTTTTGTATCCGGGATCAAACTCAGGACCTTGTGCTTGCGAGGTAGGCAGCAGCACTCCTGAGCTAAATCCCCAGCCCAGGTCTTAAGAATATTCTAAACAGAAAGAATGGGCCCCAGGATAGGCCAAAGACAGTGGATAAATATCAGTCTAGTTCTGTGAGGGCTGAATAGCAAGAGGAGAGTTTGAGGTTGACAATAGCAGCATCACAAACCAGTGCGTTCTTGTTTTCACTCCTTCCTGATAAGGTTGTACCAAGAGAAGGTACGACACCACACTGGGGAAATCCAGGACCTCCGAGGTAGTGTGAACCAGCTCATTGCCAAACTCAAGGAGATGGAAGCCATGTCAGATGAGGTGAGACACTGGCCATTCTGCCCTGAACATCTGATTTCTCAGTTTGATTCCGTTTCCTGGATCCCAAGTCATCTTCTTTCAAAATGAGGGTTTTACCCCTCATTTTGATGGAGCCTATCTCCCAACAAGCTCCTAGAAAAGAATAAAAGAAGACGTATATTTATTTTTTACAAATTGCATGTTTAAAAACATCTTAACCATTGCACTTGATTAATAGTTTGGCTGGGTATAGAATTCTAGACAGTTTCTCCTGAGAATTTTGAAGGGAGTCCACCATTGTATTCTAGTTTATACTGTTGATATTGACAATTTTATTGCCACTCTTATTATTGGTCCTTTGTGTCTGATCTGTTTCTATCCCTTCCTTTTTACTCCAATGTAACTCCCACATGCGAGATGGGTTGGCTGAGTTTATGGAATCTGTAAGTTGATATTTTTCAATAGTTTTTGTTTTAATTCTTAGCCTTTCTTTCTTAAAATATTGTTTCTTCAACATCATCTCATTTTTTTCTCTCAGATTCTGATTCTATCCATGCCAAACCATTAAAGTGTGTTTCACATGATCCCTATGCTATTACCTGGTTTGTTTATTTTTTCATTTTTCATGCCTAAGCTTTGATATTTTCTTTTGAACTTTCTTCAGGCTTATTAATAATTCTGTATTATGTCTGTAAAACCTACTATTAATTTTAAATACTGCATTATTTAGTTCTAGAATACACATTTGATTCTATGATTTTAATTCTATGGTGACATTCTCCATCATTTTGCCTATGTCGTCAATCTTTTCCTTTGTTTTATTTAACACATGAGTCATGGTTATTTTAAAAATCCTTATTTGCTAACTCCAATATCTGGATTATCTATGGCCTTCTGTTTTCTGTTTTGCTTTGTTTTTCTCTTGGGTATCAACTATATGGTCTTGCTTTTTAATGTCAATAATTTTTAGTGTTTTCTAGACATTGTATACAAAAGAATTCTATATGCATTAAGTAATTATGTCTCCCCCCAAGCAAGTCCCCCCTCTGCTTTTTTTAAGAAAAATGAAGCAGACTGATCACTTCCTTCTAGACATTTATTGAATTGATTCAGACAGTCTCAACTGCAAATTTTATAAAATTTACTCAGAGATTTTCAGTTTAATTCTAATTTAGACTCTTTCCCATGCAGCTTCAAAAATTTGCAAATGTTGGCAGAAGGCTGAAAGTACTTGGAATAAAAATACTCCTGATGGGATTTTTAAAGGACTGTTTAAAATGTAAACAGTTTTATTTAGAGACAGATAAGTATCTGTTTACACAATAGAGTTTGAAACCTGGTTTACACTCTCTAAAAACTAACCAGAAGCCAAATTCAAGAGAGCTAATAGCACTCACAGGACACACACTAAGGGTACGCAGCCACTGTTCACCCACCTCAGGCAGGCCTGTTTTAAAACTAAAAAACAAAACAAAATAAAAGTTTGCAAATGTTTTAATGGCAAGATTAGCCATGTTTGAAGACTCTCAAGTTTCCACTTTTGCCTTCTAGCCCTGCATGAATGCAAAATCTCTTGCCCCAGTGATAACTTCTCTGGCAGGGGCAAACTTGGACTCTCAGTTTCTAATTGTGCCCAGGGGTGGTATCCCAGGGAAAATGCAGCTATCAGTACTCTATTGACTCACCATTTCTTCTAGGGCAGTGAAATCTCAGTACGGCTCACATACCTGTGGCACCATACCTGACCTCCATCCAGGCCTAATGAATCAGATACTCTGAGGCTTAGAGCCAAGCCACATGTTTCTAACTTATACCAAAGAGAGCCACTGTCCTAGGGCTTCCAACTCATCCTTGTTCTGTTTTGGGGCATCTTCCCTCAGAGGGAGCTTGTTTCGTAAGGCATATGAAGATGTAATATTTTATTCTGCCTTTCAGGAACTCTGGAAGTAGCTCCTATCTTGAAATTCAGTTAACATCTTGTAGGGGAAACTGGCCATATTGGAGGCTCCTTCAGTCCCCAGTTTTGTCACTTTGTTCCTATGTGATCATTAACAACTTTGCTGCTTTCTCCTTCACTAGTAGGAGTCTATTGTCTGGCCTAAGCCCAGATCATCAGCTCATGCCCAGAATCACCACAAGCCCCCAGAGATTAATAGAAATTGTCAGCAAATCTCAGAATGGTTCTCCTGACTCTAGAATCTTAGTCCATCTGGTCCTTGTTTCTCCCATCCCTCATAATGGCTTTAAAATATAATTTATTAGTGCCCTGACTTTTTTTTATAACTGTTGTTATTGTAAGCATTGAGCTTACCTCATCTTACCTGACATCTGAACTGTCAGAAAAACATGCCAATGGGCTGGCCACACTTAGTAACCATTCAGTCTGGAAACACATCCTTCAGCCCTAAAAAATGCTCATTAATTATGTAATTAAACTAGTGATTTTTCTCACCAGTCCTGTTTTTTCTATTCTCATTTTTAGGCACTTATTATTTGGATGGTAACTCCTGAACTAATCTGCTACTTTTTTTCCCTTTTATCCCTGTTTTCCTCTCTTTGTCTCTTTGTTTTACAGTTGAGAAAAATATTTCCAGCCTTCTCTACCAAAACTTCTACTGAGTTTATTTGTGCTGACATGTTCTGAATTCTCCAAAACTTTGAGTTTGTTCTCTAGGCTTTCGCTTTTTTAGAATTCTATTCTTGTTTCAGGAACATAATATCTTTTCTGACTTCTCTGAGCTTATAAGGATTATTTTCTTTTTGACATTTTCTTCTTCCTGCGTGAGCTCACTTTGGGGTTGCCAATTTTGCTTGGATTTCCTCCCTCTTAAAGCCTCTCCCTAGCTGTCTGACAATCCTTAAGCTGACTGTTTAGATTTAACAGAGGAGAACAAACAAGCTGGCTACTGGCTCTGAAAGTGAGCCATGGATGTTGGCAGCCGTGGACTTCCCTGTTGGGCACATTTCCTTGGGGGAACACTTGATAAGGTGTCTTGGGTGGGCTGACTCCCCCATGAAGACTGGGGAGTGAGTGGGTTGGAGGAAGTCACTGTGGTCAGTGTACATACACATGCACTAAGTCTAAGCCCTACCTTCAACTCTGCCTGCTCTTCCTCAGACCAGAGATCCTCCAATTTTTGTTTTATTGAGATACACACACAGTAAAATGCACTAACCTTCTTACCCAGCACAGCGAATTTTACTTGTATGCAATCATATAACCCTACCCAAGTCACAATCCAATAGATTTCCAGCCCCCGGCCGGCTCCCTTGCCTCACTTCCCAGCCTAAATAGTTTCAGAAGTAACTATTCTGACTTCTGTCATTGTATATTAGTTTTAACTGTTCTGGATTTTTATATAAATGGAATACTATAATACTATGTTTTTTTTATATTATTCATAATTATGTCCATAAGATCCATCTATATTGTTGGTAACAATAGGTGGTCAATAGCTTTTTTCCATTTTATCACTGCCTAGTAGTCCATTGGTGATACACCATGGATTACTCATCCTACTAAGGATAGACATTTGGATTGCTTCTAATTTGAGACTCTTAAAGCTGCTATAAATATTCTTGTACAAACCATTTGGTGAAGATATATATTACTTAGTTCCCTTGGGAGTGGTTGTGTCTAGGAGTGGAATTGCTAGGGCATAAGGTTATGTGTACATTCATTTTATTATATGCTGTCATCAGCAGCATATGCAAATTCCAGTTGTCTCACCTCCTTCCCAAGAATGGGAATTATGTCTTTTTCATTTTTTCATTCTGGTGGGTGAGAAGCAGTGTCCCACTGAGGTTTACTTTGCATCGCACTGATTGTTAACGATGATGAGTGCCTTTTCACTATTCATTGGCCATTTGGATTTCTGCCTGATGCCTTCAGAGGGAGGGGTCTTCTTATTGATGTGTATGAGTTTGTATGTGCTCTGGACACACATCCTCAGTTGGATGTACATATTGCAAATATTTCATATCATTTCCCAGTCTACAGTCTGAATGGAAGTTTCCAATTTTAATTGGTCCAATGTGCCCAGTTCATGCTGCAATTGGGAGGAGTCTAATGGGAAGATGGTTGCATGGCCTGCGCTGCCCCTGTGATAAGGCTGTGCAGTCTTCAGCTAACAGGAGAGCCTGGAGGTTAAAGCCTGAGCTGTCAACTCTGCCTCTTACCAACTGTGGGAGCTTGAGTGAGCAAACCCTGTGCCTCAGTGTTACTATGTGCACAAGGGGGATGACAAAGGGACACCCTTCCTAGAGGCGCTGCAGGGATGAGCATGAATAGATGTGAGGTCGAGAATAGCACTGGCACCTAGGAGGTTCTTGGACAGTGCTCTGCAGCCCTGGACAGTAGATGTGTGTTTGCCCATCTTACAGATGAAAAAAGCAAGACTCAGAGGTGATTCTTGCCCAAGGCCCCACAGCAGCATCTTTCTGATTGCAGAGCCCTATCCTTGACCTCAGTGACTCCAGGACCAGCCAGGTGTGGCCATATACACCTGTAATCCCAGAACTCTGGGAAGCTGAGACAAGAAGATCAGAAGTTTGAGCCCAGCCAGGGCAACTTAGCAATTTAGCAAGACCCTGTCTCTAAGCAATAAACATTTTTTTTAAGGGCTAGGGATGTTAACTCAGTGCAAAGGCCCTGGGTTCAATCCCCAGTACCACACACAAACACACACACACACACACACACACACACAAAAGCCTCAAGACCCCCAGATGACATTCCATCCTGGTGGCCTTGAAAACTCACAGTTAACCCAGTGAATGGGGTGGGTGGCTCTCTGTCCCAGGGGCTTCCTCATGCATAGCAGCTGGGTCTTCTGTTTAGTGCAGGGCCAGTCCAGCACCTGCAGGGAGAGATAGGCCTGTAGGGAAAGAGGGTGCCCTGCAGCCACCTATCACCTGCAGAGGACACATACAAGGGACTATGATCTCTACGAACACACCAGGGCACAACTTGTGTTTTCTGCCTTTTCAGCAAAAAATGGCCCAGAAGATAATGAAGATGATACAAGGCGACTACATTGAAAAGCCAGACTTTGCCCTGAAGTCTATAGGCAAGTGGCCTCCCCGCCCCCCTCAGCCCACCTCAAGCATCCTCAGAGGTCAATGTCAGCTCTGGGTGGCCACTTCTGCTGCTGGGACGTCCCTCCTCTGAGCTAGACTATGCTCCCAGCTGGTTTTGTTTTCCCTAATGGGGTCTGGCCTGGGACAGGGGCAAGAGTTGAGCCCCTTGGCTCCCCACCACTGTAAGCCCCTCGCCATACTGAACACCTGGGGCTGACCACAGAGGTCACTGGCCCGAATCTGCCCTGGGGAGTTGGGAGACTGGCCAGAAACAAACCAACATGGTCTGAATGGCACGCAGGAGCCACAAAGCTCTGGGGGACCTGGCAGAAGGAGTCCTCCCACTAGGGGACACTTGGTTTGAGACTGGTGAGGAGAGAAAAGCACTCCTGACCAAAGGGACACATGTGAAAAATCCTCTGGGCAGAGGCCTGCAAGAGCCAGCAAGGGGTACCTGGGAGGCAGTGAAGAGGCAGATGAGCAGACAGGGGACAGGAGCTGGCAGGGTGCACTAGCCCACCACAGGGAACACCAGGCAGCACCAGCTGATCTGTTTACCCTGAGCTTAATGACATGCGGAGTCAGAAGGCAGCAGCCCAATGCCTGAGCCACCTTGGGCCTGGCTGAGCTCCCAGGGGCTGGCACCTCCCCTCCATGCACTGGGTGCACTGAAGGCCACAGGCACAGTGACATGGTGAGTACACCACTGGCACCTCGGGAGCGCTTCAGTGCACTAGCTCATTCCTACACTCTCCCCTGCAAAGTGGGTGCTCTGGCTACTGCTATCACGGTGATCTTCAGTGCTCCCATTGTCTAAAGGGGACCATGAGCTCCAGGGAGGGCCAGGGACTCAGCCAAGGCCTGGTGGGTGCACAATGATGCAGTTCCCCAGTCAATGCAGTTCCCCTCCCATGCAGGTGCCACCATCGACTTCGAACACACATCAGCTACATACAACCACGACAAGGCTCGCTCCTACTGGAACTGGATCCGGCTGTGGAACTACGCGCAGCCCCCAGATGTGATCCTTGAGGTAGGGGCAGCAGGGGACAGGGGAAAGGGCAGGGTGTGGTCAGGGTATGAGGACAGGAGCTGCCAGCAGAAGTGGGGGTGGGAGCAAGGGTCAGAGGCCTGAGATGGGTTCAAGGAAAGAACAGAGAAATGGGGGCTACCAGTGCTGAGTACAAGCAGGGACAGGGACAGCTTGCTTTGCACTGGAAGGTCCCCCAGCCCTGGAACTTCAGGACCTGGGAACCCTCAGGACAGCCTTGGGGACAGGCCCCTGATATACCCATTTACAAAGAGCCAGGTCATTTGACTGTAGCCACACAAATGCTTACTGGGGTGTGGCAGAGCCAGATTTCAAAGCTGAGCAAATTGTCCCTCTGTAGTCTTGCCTCGCAGATGAGGAAACGGGGGCCCAAAGAGGGGAAGGGGGTCATCCGGATCACAGACCAAGTGACTCTTGGCTTAGCAGACACTGGCCGAGCATCTCGTCCTCTTAGCCAGCCACAAGTCGTCCCAAGTCCACAGGTGACATATCTATGGATCCCACCCTCAGGGACCTCTAAGATGGCAGCACTCAGAGTCAGGAGGGAGCAATGACCTGACAGGGACAGGGAGGCCTCCCCGTGGAGGCAGCTAGGGGTGAGCACAGCTCATCAGGCAATGAGAAGATGCCAAGGGCCTGCTGGATACAGGGAACTACTGTGGGACACAGGGAAGGCACGGTGGTGACAGACCCTTGCTGGGGAGGGGCCAGCCCCACAAAGACTCAGCAGGGCTGGAAGGGGGCTCTCCCCAGCCTGACCCAGTTCCTTGCAGCTTCTGCCCCTCAGGCTGCTCCACTGGCCACTGGGCCATTCACAGCCTCTCCCTCAGCTCACTGTGCAGCAAGCCCTAGTCTCCCCTGGTCCCAGCTCCTCTAGCAGGCCCTGCTCCACTTCCTGAACACCCATCCTAGCACCCGCTGTTCCAGCTCAGGTCCATCCACACTGTGTCTCCAAGAACCTGCTGAATGAACACCTTGGATGTGTGACTTCAGCTGAGTCTCTTTCCCTCTCTGAGCTTCTCTTCCCCTTTAGGAGGCAGGAGATTGTACTGGTTCATGTCACATTGCAGGATCACATGGCCTCAGTTACACTTCCAGCTCTGCATGGTCCTGGGCCTGTCTCTTCCCTGCTCTGTTCCTCAGTTTCCTCATCTGTAAAATGGGGACAGTAATGGTGCCTCAGAGGGTGACTGCGAGACTATGTAAAGGAGGGGAGGGATGAATGAGAGAATGAATGAATGGGTGTCATGGGGCTAGAGGCTGGGAAGCCCAAGCAGACAGGGAGCTCCCAGGAGGGGTAGCCATGGCTCAGCTCTGCAGAAAGGCAGGACTGGCTCCGCTAGGGCACGAGGACATATGGGAAACTGGACAGGTTGAGGAGCCCCTATGACAGCCCCTGTTACATCTCTTCAGCCCAACATGACACCGGGCAACTGCTGGGCCTTCGTAGGTGACCGTGGCCAGGTGACCATCCGACTGGCCCAGAAGGTCTACCTGTCCAACCTCACGCTGCAGCACATCCCCAAGACCATCTCCCTGTCGGGCAGCCTGGACACTGCCCCCAAGGACTTCATCATCTACGTGAGCTGCCTGGTGGGGAAATGAGGGGGCACCGCCCAGCATGGAAGTCCAGGCCTTGCAAGTGAGGGCAGAGTGGCAAAGGTGGGCTTGGACCCCAGCCTCCAAGGATGGGCACAAGCAGCTGCTCCATCCCAGGCAGGCTCTTCAGAGCCAAGAGCCTGCAGAGACCATGGCGCCCCCATTTTTCTGAGAAGGTCCATAGAATTGTCAGGACCTCTTGGGTAAAATGAAGTTCAGGGGAGGCCAGCGAAACACTCCAGTCCTACACATTAATGGCAAGGTTAGAAGTAGAGCCTCAGCCACTGATCACAGTCCAGTGCTCTTTCTGTCCATAACACTGTGCGGTGATGGAACACTGTCCAAAGAGGTGAGGAGTTCACTATCCTGGGAGGTGTGCAAGTCTCAGCTGAAGAGGGGAGATACCTCCGGGAGGAGGGCCTGTCCCTGACATCGTCTCCTTGGTCTCACTGCACAGGGCATGGAGAGCTCCCCCGGGGAGGAGGTGTTCCTCGGGGCATTCCAGTTCCAGCCAGAAAACACTATCCAGATGTTCCCACTCCAGGTACCTGAGTGCCTGCTGTGCCCCCTCTGGGACCCACTCATCCCCTACGGCCTGGGAGGTACACAGTCATTAATACCCATTTGACGAAGACACTGAACCTCAGAGAGATAGAGCCACTGCCCAGGGCCAAGAATGGGACCCCAAGGAGATCCACCTACCTCTGGAAGTCCCCATGTTCCCTGATCTGCCCAGGAGTCCTCTTGCTGCCTTTCTCCCAGGGGCAGCAGATGTTCAACTCAACAGGTGGGGGTGCTGGCTCCAAAGTTAGAGTCTGTACACTGGGAGTCCCCTAATCGGCACCTGAACCAATGACAGGTGGGGAAACTGAGGCCTAGAGGGGAGGGAGTTGGGGACAGAAGCAGGATCAGTGGTGGCTGGAATGGGTATGGGGGCCTGTCATGCCGAATGTCCAGGCTTGGGAATCAGGCCGTGACTGGCCCAAATCTTACTCTGGCCACAAATTTTGTATGATCTTGGGGCTTTTTTTTTTGCCTCTCTGGGCCTCAGTTTCACCCTTGTAATTCTCTGGGAGGTTGAAGCCAAGCAGTGAGATCACAGAGGCCATGCCTCTCCCTTTTGCACCAAACACAGGCTCCTCCCCTCCAGAGGGGCAGAAAGGAAGCCAGCCACTGGCAAGCCCTCCAGCCCCCAGATCCCATTTCATGCCCACAGCAATCTGGGAGCAACTTTTACCACTACCATCTTACAGAAGGGGGAAACTGAGGCCCAGAGCAGAGTGGTGCCTTGACCCAGGTTCCACAGCACAGATGCTGCCAAGGCCTCAAGGCTGGGCCACTTCCCCAACCCCAATAGGTCTGTCCTTCTGGCCTCAGCACCTACTGTCCCCATCCCTGAGTATGGACTTGCTGTGCTGTTGGGGCAGTCCATTCCCCTCTCTAGGCCTGTGAAATGAAAGTTCCCTTCCACTCTCAAAGGCCCCTCTGCTGGCCAGGGTGGAGGCCTGTGTGTCACCCTGGCCCTGTGTCCAATCTTCTCTTGCAGAACCACCAGCCACGGGCCTTTGGTGCGGTCAAAGTGAAGATCTCCAGCAACTGGGGGAACCCACGCTTCACCTGCCTATACCGCGTGCGTGTGCATGGCTCTGTGGCCCCGCCCACCCAGAACCCTGCCCTAAAAGAGTAAAGTTTATTCTTTAGCCCAGCCTATGTCTGAGTGTCTTTGGGCCCTAAAGAGGGACAGTGGCCTAGCACTGGCATCTGAGGCCACAGTGAGCTATTACTGATGACAGCTGGGTGCCCAAGCACCTTCATGACAGCCCCAGGAGGCCCCAGATGGGAATGGTGAAGGCCCCACACAACAGTGACATGCTGGAGGCCACAGCCAGCAAACAACAGCACTAGGGTCAAACCCAGGCATCTGATTGAAGGACACTTCTCTGTTTCAAATGGAGCTTGGGAGCCAGGGATTTAACTCAGTGGTTCTGCCGCCTGCCTTGCAAGTGCAAGGTCCCGAGTTCGATCCCCAGTACCAAAATCATCATCATCATCATCATCATCACCATCATCATCATCATCATCATCAAATGGAGCTTGGCCCCGGCCTGTGTGACCTTCAGCAAAACCCCACTCTCTCAAGGCCTCAGTCTCCCCAGGAGGGGCAGGATGATGGGTGTTATATCAGAAGAAGTGCCAAATGAGAGGTCCCACATCTTCCCTCCTCAGAGTGTTCCAACATCCTGTGAATGATTTGCTGTGTGATATTGGGCAAGACACACACTCTCTCTCGACATCAGTTTTTCCAGGTATAAAAGTTCCTGTTCCCCAAACCTCAGTCACTCCAATTCTGTGTGTGTCATCTCTCTCAACTATGCCCATATTTACTTGACAGTGTACAGCAGCACTAGAACAGTGTCTCCTGCCAGTATCCCTCCCAGCACACAGCATGCCAACCTCTGGTCCCAGGCAGGTGATAGGAGGACCAGTCCTGTGGGGGAGTGGGTGATGCTGGCCCTAAGCAGGGCCCTGGAGGGGGCAGGCTGGCCCCTTGGAGTGGGAACAGGACTGGCACCTGCAAGAGAAGAGATTCCTAGTGGGCAGGGCAGGCAGCTGGAGACTGGCAAGGCCCCCACTGAGCATGAGAAGGGCAAGGAGGTGGGAAATGAAATACATTCATCGCCAGGGAAGGCACCCTGGACAGGCCTCTCAGGCCTCCTGCCAGGTCTCCAACGAGCTTCCAGTCTTGCCCCAGGGACTGACCTATGCAGGGTTCCACAGTAGGAGTGACTTCGAGGGGCCACCGCACACTCCTGCCACTCCCTGCCCCCTCCCAGCAGGCAGTGGGTCCAGAAACCACACACATCAAGCCTGCAACATTTTGACAGATTTTATGTGAACCATTCCTGTTATGAAAGAGCTAAATGCTCCTGAGGTTTGGTAAAAAGCAAACCTATAGACAGCCCCCTTTCTTGTCCAAGCCCCTCCCAGCCCCCCTTCTCCAGCTGTTCTGCATTTTCTCCCAGTCATTTTAAGGCATCTTTTGCTCAGCAGATTTTTTTAACATTTATTATCAAGTCAATCTTTTCCTTTATAGCTTCTGTGTGGTGCGCATTGTCAGAAAGAGACATTCCCAGCCCCAAGTTCATTGAAATATTTTCCTGATCTTCTATTAATTTTATTACACACACACACACACACACACACACACACACATTTGCTCTTCAGTGCATAGACATACATACAAGATATAGATGTATTAAAGCTCCTTAGTGTGTCTGGAATTTGCTTTAGTGAGTGGTGTGAGGTAGGGATCTAATTTACATTTTGCTTGATTATACCATAGCTCACAGCCTGGTACCATTACTGAATAGCCCATCTGTCCTTGCTGTTCAGAAACACAGTCTATGTGGTTTGTGGTCTCTCCGTTTCATTGAGCCCTGCCTCATTCTGCATCCACACCATGCTGCTTGAGTTACTCTAGCTGACAGCATGCTGCATTTGTGCTCTAGCAAGTACCCTGCCTCTAACACATTACTGAACGTTCTCATACACTTTCTTTTCCAGGAAAACTTTAGAAGCAGCTTCTTGGTTCATTTCTAAAACACTGCTACTTGCCTTGGTTTTGTGGGCTCGTATATGGAGGATGGGCGTCTGTCTTACCCAAGTCAGTGTTTTCTTCCCAGAACTACCAGAATTAGAACCTCCTCTCCATTTCTCTAGGTTCTCAGCATCCTTTTGTAAAGTGTCACTATTTGCTTCATATGAATTCTGCACTTCTTGCTAAATTTAATCCTGGGTATTTTAGCAGTTTTAGGGCTACTATAAATGGGGTCATTACCATTGGTGACATTTTCTGTAGAGGGTATTCCTGCAGTTTGGCATTCACCCCTCCCCAGTCCTCATCCTCCCAGGGTTCAAGTTATTTCTTAGGAATATTCTAGGTGAACACCCCCAGGGCCCTCAAATGTTACATAATCCACTGTGTGTTCACACCATCACTGCTGTCATTACAGGGATGGAACATCCCCCAGACACTAGGAGACTGAGGCAGAGAGATGCAACTTCTCAAGGTCACACAGTGACCCATGGTGCAGCTATGACCACCCCAGACTCACCAGGCCCCAAAGTGCTTACTGTCCCACCTCCCACGCCTTCCCACAGTCATGGCAGATCCCAGAGGGTTCAAATGTTGACTCCATAGAGCAGCAAATAGAGAGCGAGACAGTGGCTCTGACACTGTGCCCTGCAGTGTGACACCCCCTCCCCAGGATGGCTGAGACAGTGGCACAGACAATGTGTAGCGGTGGCACACAGAGCCCAGCGGGTGCTCCATGAGTGGGAGTCTCCTTATTCACAGGAAGAGCACCCAGAGCATGTGGCCCAGTCCTGCCTGGGTCACCAGGTCGCTTTACCCTCTGCCCTCACCACACCCTCACGCCCTTTGAAACCAATGCACAGGCCACGGGATGGGCACTACAGTTCACAGGGCACTTGAGTGGCCCTCTGCAAAGACATGGCATCTGAGCCCCCAATTCCCCCACAGAGACCTGAGTGGTCCAGAAGGGAGCAGGGGCCTGCGGGATCAAAGAGGCCTTGTCTCTTGTTTTTCTGTCTGCAGCAGACAGGAAAACAAAGGCACCCCACCTGCCGCCCCAACCAGGTCCACAGGCAGAGGTCACCTGCCTTCGTCCAGCCCCACAGGCCTGGAGTGGCAGAGTGGGCCACCAGCCAGCAGGGGCATAGCTCTGCTTGGTGACCAAGACCAAACCGGAGGTACAGAGCACCAAACCGCCCCCAGCCCCCAGGGTGGCGCCTCTGGTAAGCCTAGTGCAGCCCAGGGATTTAATTAATCCCGCTAATCTCCAGAGCCAGGTCAGCTCAACTGGCAAGCAGGCAGGCCCTCTGTTTCTCTGAGACTCAGAGACCCAAGGATGGGCGGGCAGTGGGTCACGGCCTCAATGATGGACAGAACTCTGTGTTCCATCCTGTCCTGTGTTCTTTTCCTTATGTCTCCTTGAAGGGATTGCCTTCTGGGCCTCAGTTTCCCCATCTGTACCAGAGAGGTTGGCCCTTGCCCCTCTCTGCTGGAGATGGACTGGACCCCAAGCCTCAGTGTGAAAGGCCCTTGTTGGCTGGAGCAGAGAGTGTAGCCTGCCTCATAAGGATAAGAGGAAGTTCACACTCTGTTTAGATAAAATCCCAGTGGAGCCCCATGTGCCTGGGTCAGCAGGAAGTCCTACCCCAGCAGTTTTCCATTTTCCCAGCCTCGGAGCCCTTCTAGGAATAGAGATGACAGCCTTGAATAGGAGTGTGCTGAGGCTGCACAATCCCAGCTCAAAGACCCCCATCCACTCCTCTTCATAACCATGGAGTCTCAGGGTTCACAGGAGGCTCCAGGTGGCCTCAGTCCTGCCCCTCACCCTGCACCCCATAGCCTTCCCACATCTGTGGCCACAAAGGAGCTCCTGTTCTGTTCACCTTTCAGGTCCTGGGTTCAGGCTCCAGGAGGGGTCCAAGCAGGGTTAGTGAATGACAGGCAAGCCTCCTGTCTCCTGTCTCCAAAAGAAGGGTGAAGTTCCAGCCCCTTACAGTTCTTTGTGGGCCTCAGCTGAGTCTGGAGTAGGAAAGCCCAGAAGGGGCCTCAGACTGAGAATAGCAGAGCTCCCCGAGGGTTTCCCTCTGCCTACCACCGTCCATGCCTCCAGCCAGCTGTGTGGCCACCAGTGGGCATTATACCTCCGGAAGCCCGCTCTGGGATGGGAGGGACATCCCTGGATGTCCTTTCCACTCAGCACAGATAAGCTGGTGCCACCCTGGGATCCCTGAGACCTGAGCTGTGCAAGAGGACGTGCTCTGAACATGACCCATAACAAGCACCCCTGTGGAGCGCTCACCCTGCAGTGGCTATGCTGGGTAGCTGCTGGGCTGGTAGGGACAGGGTCTGTGGCTGTGGGTGCTCAGGGAAGACGAGGCAGGAGGTACCGGAGCCCTATGACATGGCACAGGTAGGTCTCTCCTGTGGCTTCCATGAGAATCCAGGGGGACACAGCTGCTGGGCCTGGCACCCTAACACCAGGCCACTCAAGAAAGGACTCTGTGATGATCCAATGAGGGACTGAATGCCCTGTACTGGGAGGTATACAAGCCCAGGTGGACAGGGGCACTCAAGAGCCCAGGATTCTGTGGATTTTCCTCCCTAAGGGGTCCTCAGTCCTAGCCTAAGAGTGTCAGCCACCAGGAGGTGGCACTTCTTATTTTAACCTGAAACACCAGGAGGGACTGCCTTGCTTTCCAGGTAAGGCCCAGAGAGGTTTAGCCACCAGCCTGTGGTCACCCAGCCATGTGTGGTGCAGTACCTAGAGGGCATCCAAGGGGCACTGTGGCAGAGAGCCTGGCCTGCTGTCAATTGTGCTCTGACTTCCGTGCTGCAGGGTGTCCTTGGACAAGTCATTTCACCTCTCTGAGACTCTACTCTCTTCTCTAAGTAGGAGGGAAAGCCACCCAGCTCCCTGATGTCCTCAGGACAAACCCAGGGAACTGAGTATGACACCTCCCTTCCACCCATCTCGCTGCCACACATCACATCCTGGCAGCCCCACCTCCTGTAACACCCTCAACCCACTGCCTTGCTGTTCCCTGGACACACTAGGTGTCTTCCGCATCAGTCCCTCACCCCAGCTGCACCCACCCAGGCTGGACGGCTCT